TTTCCATCAGAGCATTTTGTCCTTGGTATATTTATGAATTAATTGCAAATTTAAGTGTTCTTTATTTGCATGATTGTATGGCAAGAAAATTAAGCCTTCTTCATGAACTGAGAAATCTTGTGGATACCTGAGAACCTGTCAAACCTAATCTTTCTGGCTGGATACTTAGCTAGGTAAAACCAGATTTCTGAACTTCAAGAACAAATATTTGACACCCAGCGAGTTCATACATTTTGAGACAAATTTGGTAGGAGTTACACCAAGATTTTAAAGAAAGAAGTTGTAAAGAAAAGGGAGGCAAGTAAGGTTGAGGGCTAGAGGGGAAAAAAATGGCAAAGAAATAAGAGCCATTTAAGAAGTTCTATAATGTTCTAGCTGGGACAATGGTTTTCTCCTCTTTTATTTAATTCTTAGTGAAGACTTTTATTCTGTTACTCAAAGATAAAATCTAAAAATAAACCTGGTGTTATTGCTGGCAGTGTCACAGGGCATGTAATCTTTTGTATATACATTACTATGGAGTGAGCTAAGAGACAATAATATATTAAGTCTTAAAATTGCCATTAATGCATTACCTGTTCAGACATTAATTTTTCTATGACCGAATTTTTTCTTAAGTGATCTCATCCTTCCTTTTTGCTTCAATTGTCTTGATAACAAAAATCTTCATAGAACTAATATTTGCTTGTTACAACTTCTTCAGTGTCCTAACTTTACTGTTGTCTTTACCAAATTGAGCTAACTTCCTTTTGCTTTGCATACAGACATAACCTTCTTTAATATTTATCCATTCTCATGTGTTAGGATAAAGACCTACATAACCAAATAAGTAATACCTAGATTAAAAATAAGTATTAAGGAATGGTAAAGATGTAGGACAACAATAGAAAATAAATAACTAATTTTTAAACTATCAGTCTTCTCAAGAGAGCTTGCAAAAACTTTTGAAAAATCACCATCTAAAACTTGGGTCTGTTGAATGTGTTCAGTTTGAATATCCCAAAATGGAAACGTTTGAGGAAGTTGAACAGTGACATGGGACGTTCTTGGGCAAAGGGACTCCACCATTATTGTTGTCGTTAAATTGCTGGATCTCTCCCTGGCCCATAGTGATTAGCACTTCCTAGGCGATCCCCGTTTGTGGTTCAGAGGCTGCAGGGGCACAGGGATTATTCCCAGTAGGCAGTTTGCATACAGCCACGCTGTTTTAGTGGGAAGGTTAGTTTAATACTGTGGATGCAGGCTAGCTGGCCTCTGAGCTTAGCTTGTATCTTACACTATTCTCTGTCACTGAGACCAGCCGTATAAACTGGGCTGCTTCTGTAGTACTGAATGCGCTGAGCTTACAGGGTGGTTGTGTCCACACTGCTTATTAAGATGGGTCCCTGGCTTATGCTACTTCCCATACTATGCTCGAGGATTGTTTGAGAAAATGTTAATTGTCTTGGGCCAAACAATACCAGGAACTGTTCTAATGATTTCACAGCCTAGAAGAGTCAATTCCAATGCCCAGGAAAACTCCCTGGCACTGCTTTAGTGATGTTAAGGCAATACAGCATTAGTTAGAAATAAGCTGCGAGGGTACAAGCAGAGTCTCAGACAGAGACCCTGGGTGGGTGATCAAAGTCCAAGTAGTGTGAGCTTTATCAAAGCCAAAGTAGGGGTTCAGAACTGAGCCTAGTATGCTTTGAGAAAGGAGCAGAATGAAACCTGCAGGCATCAGAGAAAATAATTTAATAGAATTTTCAGCTTTAGAGGAAATGAAGATGCTCAATGTGAAATACTCTTTTAAGCTGTCTTATGTACTGGTAATTGGATTCCAGCTGGATTTTTCCAGGGAGAACTGAAATTTCCTTGCATTGTTAATTTTGTGAAGGTGGCATCCCCATAACTGTCATTTACAGGCAGACTGAATATTGAGTGGAGGAGGAGAACGTATTTACTGTTGACTTGACCTTCCGTTGCCTTGTCTGTCCTTGTCTTGCCCTCCCTGTCTGTGCCTTGCCTTTGGATAATGCAACTCATACTGAATGGATTTTTAACTTTTGTGTTGGCAGTACAAAACCTCTGCTGACTTAGAAGCAGGTTTATGGATGAGTAGCTCTTTTCAATGAATGTGTCACTTTTCATAGGAAGAGTGGGGGGGAATTACTTTTGTGTACGAGGATGTTTGCCAAAGTTGTGAGAAAGTTCCCTGTTTAACAGGAGGGCTAGTAAGAGGAAGAAGTTATGTTTTACAGGGGTAGTGCAAAAGCATGCAACTGCTGAAAAGGTATCACTGAAAGTTTATCTGAGGAGATGAGTGTTCAGATCTGTTAGTCATTACTGATCACCACTCCTCAAAATACCACCCTGATGGAGTTTTCCTTAGTAAAAGTAATATTTTATTTTTCATGGACCCCATCAACTAAATCAACTTTAGTAATTACAGAGTTATTAAAAGCCCCCACCAAGTCAGAAGACAAAGATTTTAAATATATTTTAATGTGGAAATGTTTGGTATTTCGATAGAATTTTGCTAGTGCACGTACTTTTAAAATGCACTGTATTGCATTCAGACAGATTATGGGGTGTGCCTCTGGTAGTACTATCCACTAATGCCATCCAGGTTTTTTCCCCCCAAGAATCATGCCTTACTTCAAAATACATAGCTGAGTCTTTTCAGTCCGGGATCTAAATCTTTATATTCAAATTAAAATGGTTCAACACCATGGCTCCAGTTTTGACTTGTTTTAAGGGGAATAAAATAGCTGTTATTTTACCCTTCTCCCTCCCCTGTCCTTCCCCTCATATATATACATGCGTTCTTTGCCTCTTTTCTGCAATTATCTTTCTTTCCCCTTGCTCTGCTCCCACAAATCATATCTGAATGTTATCTTTGTATTACAACTGTGAGGAAATATTTCATGTTAGATCAGTAAAAATAATTAGTAATTGGATATGCTACCAAGCTAATAAGATGGAAAATAGTTAATATGTCAGGATATCTGTATCCCATTAGAACTGGTATTTTGTTTCTGCTCAATTTGGATTGCCTTCAACATCCTCTGATTTTGAAAGAGTAAGCGACTCGAGCATATTCCTACGCTTATGAATAAAACCACACTGTAGACTGCAAATTAATAAAGCCAGGCAGTCATTTTTATTGTCATCAAAGAGCATTTTTATTCTATGCCCACAAATGTTCTTGGTAATCTATGAAAGAGGCCTCTGAGTTACCAAGGGACAACAGGCATCCTTCTCACCCCTTGCCTTGGCAGAAGTACATGGTTAGCATTCATCTGCAGTCACAAGTGAACTCGTGTAAAGGCTTGTCTGCAGACAGATGTTTTTCCAATTAAGTCTTTGATTGGCCCACTTGTACTTGTGCAGTATGACATGACCTTTAATTGTACAGTCCAATACTACTTTTCCACTGAGCGTTTGCCTCGTTTGGTGCACAAGGATGGATGAGGGTGCACTGGGAATTGAATTGGGTTGGGCAATAAGGGAGATTACTGGTTAGGGGTATCTCAATATAGTAAGATGAGGATGCCACTGCAGTTTGATAAGCGTTCTTGCCACCTCTAATCTTTCAAGCCTAGCAGACAAACAGGCAGCTAGCTACCTTGGAGTTTTATTCATAGCACCAGGAACTTAAGAACTCAAGGAGACACATGGATTGAAGCCATGGGTCTATCTAACCCACTGTCCTGTCTCTGACAGCAGTCGTAAGGGGATACATAGGAGACAGTTTAAGAACAAGACAGTACTACCTGCAGGTGTTCCCCCAGCTGCCATGCTTTTGTGACTCTGGGATTTCCTAATCTGTAGAGATCTTTAATGGTAAATATTAAACTTCAGTTGATTTCTCTTCACCAGTGCCCCATTAAGCCCTTTAAAGTCCTTTTAATCTTTTGCCATATGCTGCCTTCTGTGGCAAGGCTCGTGGCTCACCTCCCCCTGCTCACCTTAAGCCTGCCATGTGCTGTGCCTGTGATTGGTCAGTCCCTATCGATTCTCATCATGCAACTCATGCATATGTCTCATCTTCTTTTGAAAAAGAAGGATGCTGAGCAGAAACCAGAGGATGTATACCCAGAGTTGCAGAAAGCTGGTAGCATGCCCAGAAGGCAGCCAGCCTTCACTTCTGCTGTTACCCATGACAGCTTGGCCTGCCCGTTTAAGCAATTGTCAGATACAGATATACCCTGTGGTATTTCTGCTCCAGTGACTCTTGGAAAAAAAGACTGGTGATGGCTGAAACAGAACATTTCAGGAAGTGTATGAGTGGTCTCTTGGCCAAGTTGAGTGTCACTGTAGACAACAGGATTTTCTCTTGATGCAGCCACAGAATTTCTGCGTGATGCTGAGCTAGTCCAATAGTCAAGACTTTTCCCAGATGGCCATTAATTATGCATTTGAAATCATGGGGTTTGATTTGCAGAAGTGCTGAGCACTCACAGCTGCAGTTGACGTCATTGAGAGCTGTACTTTGTACATGCAAAGTGCTGCTTAATGCCAAGTTCCCTGAAAAATCACTCCCTTCACGTCTTGTATTGGTCACTGCAATTAACAGATGCTCTTGACCAGAATTTCTTCATGTACTGTTTCCCTGTTTGTAATGGGGGACTGATACCACCCTGCCTCATGGGATTGTTAGATTTCTTCTCAGGTGCTGTGCTACCACAAAAAGTATCATGGTGCACCCCACTCTAATAGTAACTCAGATGGGGTGGGTTCAGAGGTGGTTTCCATCCTGTGTGGGGTATGAGGTCAAAATCTCAACAACAGTGACAGAACAAAGTACGGCACAGGTGTCTACCCTTTCCACTGCCATTAGCCATTCTGGGCACTGATCTCACCAACCGTTAGTTCTGGCATCTCCTATTTTTCCTGTATTTTCCCAGCACATGTTAGGGTGTTTGTTTTGAGAGCATGTTTGAGATGTCAGGTCAACTTAGACCGATTTGCATTTTGAAGTTCTTATGAAGTGTTGTTGTTTGCACTTTGCCTTCCAGGAAATACTTGCAACAACAAACGTCTGGACCTTGTCTTCATCATTGACAGCTCTCGCAGCGTACGCCCTTATGACTTTGAAAAAGTGAAGGAGTTCATTTTAACCATCTTGCAGTTTCTGGACATCAGTCCTGATGCCACCCGCGTAGGTCTGATTCAGTATGGCAGCACAGTCAAACATGAGTTCTCGCTGAAGACGTTTGGGAGGAAGCAGGATATTGAAAGAGCCGTGAAGAGGATGATGCACCTGGCAACTGGCACCATGACTGGGCTGGCTATTCAGTATGCCATGAACATTGCATTTTCAGAGTCAGAAGGAGCTCGACCTCTGAGGCAGAATGTGCCCCGAATTATCATGATAGTGACGGATGGGAGACCTCAGGATCCAGTGGCAGAGATTGCTGCTAAAGCTCGTAACACGGGTATCCTGATTTTTGCCATTGGAGTGGGAAGAGTAGATATGAACACGCTGAAGTCCATTGGGAGTGAACCGCATGAAGAGCATGTGTTTCTGGTTGCTAATTTCAGTCAAATTGAAACACTGACCTCTGCTTTCCAGACGAAACTTTGTGGTAAGATTTTTATCTATAGATTGGAATGCACAGATGAAAGTAAAACACGTAAAAAAAAATACGCATTATCATTAAACTTTTTCTTTTTTTACATGGAACCTTATCTGTTAGAATATATACATTGGAAAAAGGGAGACTAGCCAGACAACACTCAGAACAGCAGTCATACGTGTGTGGAAAAACTCATTCTGCTGCTAAGGGCCATAAAATGTGATTCTAAAACATCTGATTCCTAGTGGTCATAAACAGTGAGGCAAGCACACGTATCATGATTTTCCTATTCATTGCATAATAGCAATACGTTTCCAACCCTCTGCTATTGAATATTAGTTGTTTCCTCTCTTGATTTTAAATGTGATCTCCCTTAGTACTGAAACTGCAAATTGTTAAATTGTTTATGGATTTCTCATCCAAAGCGTAGATACTAATTCTGTGCAAACAATTATCTCTGTGAATGCCTTGTGACTGGAAGGGAGACACGGAGACATGGTATTGTTTTTATTCCATCCATTTTAAACACAGAAAGTTAGGAAAAAAGGTGACAGAGATATTGTTTATTCATAAAATAAAGTAAATAATATTTTAAGAGGTATTAATTTGCAGTAGAAAAATTGCTTCCATCTGTAATCCCCTGATAAGAAATTACCTTTTACATATATCATGGCATACATAATACATTTTATTGCAATATGTATACTTTACATAATTGTCTTTTTTCGTTCTTGTGAGATAAATATGGGAGATCTTCATACAGATTTGGCATTAAGCTGAGGCATTTTCAGCAGAGTCCAGATAAGAATGCATGGTGAGATTGAATTCTCACGCATCTCTAGGAATGCTCTTGCCAGAAAAGAACTGGGGCTTATTGTCAGGGTAGTCTGGAGAATTTTCCTTACTTGGTCTTTTCCAAAACTGTTTCAAAAGAGCAACAGGGCTCCAGCTGAACTGCATCAGCACAGGACACCACCACAGACATTCGTCAGATAATAGAACTTTTCCTGTTTCTTCCTTGCCATATTACTATCTGGTGTAGTGAGATACATTTAAGAAGCAAGAAAGAGTAAACTAAACATGGATTGACAGTTTAAATGAAATGAACAGAAAATGTTTCAAAATTTCATTTTACTTTTTTTTTTTTAATTGCATTTTAGAAACAAATCCAGTACAAATACCACTTAGTCATTTTTTTCTGGCTAGACAGACATCAGTATATGTATTAGAGTTTTATACCTCACTTTTAATCCAAATACATGTGATCCTCAACAAAACCATTCCCCCAGCAGATGGAGGAGTATGGAGGTGACAGGAATTGCTACTGCCTCCTTTTCTGAGGGAATGCCTCCACATTTGCTGTGTCAGGAATTGAAGGTGAGATTCCAACATGCACTTAGAAACCCAGGCCCATATGCAACAGACAATTTAAGTTGTTAAGTTCTTACGGTTTTCAACTTATTACAGTCTTTATTGTTCTCCTGTAAAGTAGAGAGTGGTGTCATCCCCATTTTACTTTGGAGGAATGGAGGCACAGAAGCGGGGTTAAGACTGTCAAGACACCCACAAACTTTACATATTTGACTCAGTGCAATTTCTGGTCTGATCTTCTGGGACATTGAGCAGTTTTAGACTAATACAACATACCAGTCACAGCTCTACAGCCTTCACTTGCAGCTGAGAGCCCTGCATTCTTGCAAGTCCAGATTCTGATGTTTCTAGCTAAACACATGCAGTGTCAAGGTTGACACTTGCTTGAAGATACTGGTATTATTGGCTTGCCCCAAATCAAATAAGGACCCTTGACATAGAGATAAAAATCTAAATCACAAGGCTCACATTCAAATTCCTTAGCTATGAGATCACCCTTTCTATTACTTCAGTCGTGGGCTGTGTCTAGCAAATATCTCCTGCAACAAATGAGGTCGTAGAAATCATACGGACAACAGCCTCCTTCAGAAATCTGACTGATGACCAGAGTACCACTGATCTGTTGAAATGGGTGCAATAGACACATTGGAAAAAATATATGTGATAATATATTGGAAGATTGGTAACAGATAATAGAATCATAGAATCACAGAATGATTTGGATTGGAAGGGACCTTAAAGACCATCTAGTTCCACCCCCCCTGCCATGGGCAGGGACACCTTCCACTAGACCAGGTTGCTCAAAGCCTCATCCAGCCTGGCCTTGAACACTTCCAGGGATGGGGCATCCACAGCTTCTCTGGGCAACCTGTTCCAGCGCCTCCCCATCCTCTCCTGGAAAAATTTCTTCCTGATATGCAATCTAAACCTCCCCACTTTCAATTTAAACCCATTATCCCTTGTCCTGTCACTACAGGCCCTTGTAAAACAATGGGCCTGTAACATTGGTAACAGTGATGGTAACAATATGTTCTTAGAAGGGACCGAGTTATTGGGACACCTATAATGGAATGCTTCTTTTTTTTTTTTTTAATTTTTTAATACTCTTTCTTGCAACCTTATATTCCAGAGGACTGACTGGTTTTGGAGTAATATTCTACAGATTCATATTCTATAGCATTACTATATAGTGAGATTTTTCTTACACTTAAACTACTGAAATTAGTGTATTTTTCATTTGTCATATTTGAAAGTGCTTCTTTGGTCTTAGCAAGCTATACCTGATGTTGGAAGCTAGTGAAATATAGCCAGGAGGAAAGCTCCATATAAAAATTATCAGAGGTCATAAACTTCATTTTCAGAATGACAGAAAGATGGTCACAAGTGCTGTTCCCCAGGGCTCAGTGTTGGGGCCAGTTCTCTTTAACATCTTTATCAATCACCTGGACGAGGGGATCGAGCGTACCCTCAGTGAGTTTACAGACAACACAAGTTGGGTGAGAGTGTTGATCTGCCTGTGGGTGGGGAGGCTCTACAGAGGGACCTTACACTGCCAATACCGCCACTAAACCTTGTCCTTCAGCACCTCATCCACAGTCTCTTCAATACTTCCAGGGATGGTGCCTCAACCACTTGCCTGGGCAGCTGGTTCCAATGCCTGACAACCCGTTAAGACTTGATTTTGTTCTTTCAGATTCATAGAATCATAGATAATACAGGTCTATAATGCTCTGAAAAGACAAGAAGTCCAAGCAGGTCTTTTTTCATATAAATAAAAGTACTTGATCCAAAAAGTATTTTTTGGATTAAGACATTTGGGATTTGTGGTACTTTGTATATTAGTAATAAATCATCATTTAGGTTGGAAGGGACCTTAATCTCTAATCATCTCTGGTAACGATTCCAAAGACCAGATATATTGTATGTGTCTCAAAATGGTTTTTATGTTTGGGGGGTTTTTTCCCCCACAAGTACTATGCATACCACATGTTAAGTTATTTATCAGGCTTCTGTTGTGGCTGCTAGAAGATTACTGTTAACATCTATTCCATAAATTTTGAGCTTTGTCAACCTAGCACAATAAGGAGCACATCAATCCTTAATTGTCGTTGAGCAAAATAGATTATTTTCCACACAACATTCTCTGAGAAGTAATTCACCTATATATTATAGGACTTACATAAAAGCAGTGCTCCAGTGGAAATAAAATGCCAAGGAGATTTCTTAATTCCCAAATACTAGTCTGGAGAAAAATGGTTCAGCAATGAATTTGACAGAATGGGCCCATTATTCTTTTTCTTTCTCACTATCTCTTCTGTTGCATTTTACTACTTGCTATTAGAGACATAAAATGCAAACAGATTAAAAATAAACTCAGAAAGACTTATCGTCTGGAGCATAGCTCAGCTCAGCTCCCACAAACTGAAACCTGGAGATGCATGACCTCAATGCCATCATGTACTGCTTGTGTGTTCCTCGACATTAATAACCAAGCAAGATTCTTCATCAAGTTAGTTTCTAGTCATTCTTCTTTAGTACTGTGCTGAGTGGTGATTTTCTTCATTCAAGAAATTGAATGTTCCCTAGAACAGTTTGAACTTAAATTCCACTTATTTTCTGAATTTAAATGTGGTAGGTTTGTTTAATTTTCTTCTTGGCACCACCAAGTAATTAGTTTCCAGATACTCTATCCTATATTTTTATTTTGTATGTATCTCCATTGCTCATGTAATTTCATGTCCAAAAACATGCCGCCAGTATCAGCCAGACAAAATATCTAAATTCCTACTTTTTAAAATAATAAATACACAGTACTGTTTGTCAAGGATTTTTTTACAGTCTTACAGACTCAAGCTTCCATTTTTGTCTTTACTGTCAACACTCAGTTTGAAATTTCTGAATTACTTGCATAATGTTTTCTACACTATTTTTTCCAGTTGTGGCTGCAAGTAAGTAAACCCAACGTTTAATAACCTTTTACATTTTTTCTTTCAGTGCCCCATATGTGCAGTACAGTTGAGCATCGCTGTGATCATTTCTGCATAAACACCCCTGGCTCCTACGAGTGCAGATGTAAACAAGGGTACATTCTCAATGCTGACCAGAAGACTTGCAGCAGTAGGTTGTCTTTCTTATCTTTTCTCTTTCATGCTTGTAAAAAAGTGCTTAACATCACATAGCCTTTTTGTTGGGCTCATAAGGAAGGGCTGAGTATATAATTAATATACTCAGTGTATAGTTAATGGTAATAATCAGAAAGAGTCTGAAAAGGTGAAGTTGTAATTCTCTTTCTTGTTTTGTGTAAATGAAGTTCTTTTAAATCTTTCTGAAATACATCAAGTGGTTTTTATACACAGCTCTGCAGAGGTACACTGTAACCACAGAAAACTGCATTTGAATTTTATTGGTGTAGTAAGTTCAACCATGAAGCAACAATCAAAGAAAGAGCTGTTTTATCATCTCACATGTAGCTAATCCAGTGACTTCAGTAACTTCTCTAGACAGCAACCAGTAGTAAATAGTACTGGAAGGTGCAACAAAGCCCATACTAGAGAACTGTGTATTAACTTGCCATTCTGGAAAGTTCCTCCTAACTGCTACTTGAAGTGTAAAGATTTGCAACCCTTCAAAGAATAGTTTCAAAAGTCTTGTTTATGCTCTCATCTCCTTCTTTAAAAGGATTGACTTTTTCAGTTTTAAGTAATTGGCTTTATAGTTTATAATAACAAACTGTATTTCACTTTGTGATCTTTGTAAACAGTATTTCTTTTGTCCATTTTAACTTGCTTCCTAGTAATTAACAGCAGACTTCATTAGATGGATGTGCCAAATTTATTTCTGTATCCACCATTATTTTAAAGAAATTACATAATGCTATTTTTAGTTACTTGTGGAAAGTATAGTTGCTAAAAATGCAGTTTCTTTTCCCATAACAGTGCATGGATTCAAGTGAAATTTAACAAATCGATTTTAGCCAGTAGAAAAATTCTGGAAAATATCTTTTCAAAAAGCTGGAGGAGACAGTCATGGTGAGAGCAAAGGATGTACCCTTCACAACTGATAATTTAGAATTAAGGTGAAGGATGCAGGCTCAAATCCTAGACTTGTGTTTGAACTCACATGTTCCAAATCTCAGGAGAGTGCCATAAAACAAACAGGTAGCTTGGGATTAGAGGGTTCTTAGTCTTTCTTGCTTAGTGCTATATTTTATATCAAGTACTTAACAACTACCAAAAGAACAAGACGCCAAAACTGTTATCTGAGACTTGGGGATTAGAGTCCTTCATGTGCAGTGGAACACATGGTTTCAGTCAGAGCCTCAGTAAACAGGAACAGGAACAAAAGAATGTCAGCACTGGAGTCATTTGGACATTCTTGCATGGAAGCGTCTTCAGACCCTTTGGACTACAGCAGGAAACTGCTTTTGAGCTGTTCACCTCCCATGCTGTTGCGCAATAGGAGCGATAGGTTTTAGGAATCTGTTTTCTAGTCCTTCTCACCAGCATCCTTCACCAAAGGTAGACATTTGTCACATGTATGTCTGTGAATTATAGGAGATATTTTGTGCTAAAATGAACAAATTTGACACTTTAATCGTGTTCTTGTTTCCTCAAGAAGACACAAAAAAATTCAATCCCATCTGGAATATTTCCTAATTATTATTTGGTTTAGCAGCTGAGCCAAGACAAGAATAGTGAAAAGAACAATTTTTCACACAGCCTATTTTCCCTGTTTCTGCATATTTGCTGTAGCTCTTCACGAAGAGGGTGGTCAGAATCCCAAATGATGGCTCCAACCATGTAATCACATTTCAATAACATTCACTAACCTATTCTTTTCATTGTATCCCTCTTAAAATGTTTCTCATGGAAAACTTTTGTACACTTTGAGCCTTTCTTTGAAACCCTCAGGCTATTAATTTACCTAAAGAATTTTTAAGAAAGAATTATTTTGCTTTTAATTTTCTGGAAATTATTTGAAATTAAAAATTTCTTTTTTTTTAGATTTCATTTCTTACGTTTTTAACACTAACTTCAATTTTAACAATTCAATGATTCAATCTTCTATTAGTTTTTCCCACTTACCTGTCACACATGATTTGCTTGACTGTACTTGCTTTGATCTTCTATCAGATGATACTAGATGGCAGTTTGGTAAGTATGGAAAGGAAATCAGTCCTTCAGTGTGTTGTAGCCTGCTTCTAATGGACTGTTTTCTACATCACCAAACTATGAACTAATTTGAGCAATTAGCACTGGAAATCTAATATTGAGACCCATCAAACTGGCTTTAAATGTGATAGGATGGTGCAAATCATTGGTGAAGGAAGGAGATGGTATGGTAGCAGTCTAGACGAGGTCAAACCATTATGTCTAAAAACTCCTCAGAGAAGTAACGGAATTCATGAGGAGAGTGGAACAAGCCTGGACAAGCTGGAAAACTTATTTCTGGAGGTAAGGGGAGGCATGGCAATAGGAAAACCCACAGTCTGTGACCATTATAGTTACCTTCATTGACTGCTGATGGTCCACAGGTGCACAGAAACAACATGTTCCTCACTTGACCTCAAAGTAAAATGGATCTTCATCATGTTTATGTTGAGGGCAATACATGATAAACATAATCCAGGTGTATTTATCTAAGGTTTGAATGTATTTGTTAGCTTGATAGCGAAGGGTTTCCTTACATATGTATTTTAACTCTTTCTAAATTAAATGATGCAGAAAAGATGAATGGTGTGTACCTAATGTTATATTCTCTTTTCATTCTTCTGTACCTAAAGTTATACTCTTTTTTTCATCCTTCTGTTCCCTTTTTTTTTTATGTTGTGAGAGTACACCATTTAAGAACGTATGCAGTTCTTAGAAGCCCTTAACCAAACGGTGTCAATCAGGAATGAATTGACAACTTCACTTCAGACTGGAAAAGGGTGCATTTCTCTTTTGAATAGATGATAGTTTTGTTCCTTGATACATTTCATAGTAACAGTATTTCTTCAACACTTACTTCCTTGTATTGAAGGAAGAAAATCTGCCGTATTTTTTGTTTTCCACGTGGGGATGGAAGCAACTTGGCTATATTTCAGAACAAAATTAGGAGGAAAAAAAGTTAGTTTTGCTTAACTTGAAATATTCTTACAATTATTTCATTTCCATGCAAAGGATGCTCCTTTCCCATACTCTGGTCCAACTTTTAGAGAAGAGTGTTTGTGTGAGATAATGGCTGTTCTTTATTCATTACACTGTATTTGTTTGTTTAATTTAATCTCTTCCATTCTTCTCTAGAGATGTTCAAATCTTACATTAGTACCCAAAATAGTACAAAAGAAGAAATGTAGCTGAAACAAGGCGGAAAATTATCTGTTTGTGGTGTTTATACTGGAACAAGAGAGTTAAACGACTGTTTCAGCTGTTCATCGTGCCACTTGATAGGAAGCAGGCGGCTATAAAAGAAAATCTGTATTTGCTTGGCTAGTTTCCTCAGACATGTTCCAAAAGCTTTTTTTTTGTAGCTGTAAGCGGTCATTATGTGTTGGGCAGTCTTTAGGCCTGATCCTGAGCAACCCAAAGTACTCTGCTTTCCAGAGATTTCACTGGAGAAACTGGGGGTTCACAGGAAGCTTTAGTCTGTTGAATGGAAAGCCCAATGTGCTTCATTTGGCTGAGGGCTGAGCTGACCTCATTTGTTGTAGTAATTTTTCTAGGGAGATCTTTTGCTTGGGAGGGGTAACTTGCTATGGTATCTTGCACAAGACAGAAAAATTATAAAACTGAGAAATGAAATATCAACAAGTCTTTTGGTGTTGTGTTTTCCTTTTCTTTCCATTTCCAACCTTGTCATAATGTATCTTGAAGGGTTATGAAAAAAATAAGGGGCAGAAATTTTTTTTTCCCCTCCAAACAAAACCCCCTGAAGAACACCCCTCAACCTTCTTAGAGAATCATACAGTCAAGCAACTCTACTGGGCACCATTGGCCCATCAGTAGCCGTAGCTGAAGAAATGAACTCCTCAGCTTTGCGTGATCGTTCTTACTGGTGTAAGAGTTTCACTGTTTGACAGAATGTTGGCACGATCTGTGTTAAAATGAGCTCATCTCTGAAGAGCTGTTCAGAGCTTCCTGAAGTTTATTTTTGATCTATAGCTTCCCCGTGCATTTTAGAAGGCCAGAGAATTTCATATTCATGCAATTATTGTTTTGTAGCTCAGGACCTTTGTGCTGTGGAGAAACATGCCTGTGAGCAGATTTGTGTGAACACACCTGGGTCTTACGTCTGTCAGTGTTATGACGGGTATGAGCTTGATGCAAATGGAAAGAATTGTGTCGGTGAGTATGAGTTTAGCAAGTCACGTTTATCTCTTGACACAAACCAAAGGGAAATTCAGTGTAAACTAATATCCAGTTTAGCCAGACAATAAAGGGAAGCTCTCTTCTCCTATATGAGTGGCAGATAAGGAAGATATTGGCATGTTTGGAGGCCTTTACTGATAATGGGTGTTGACTTGGGAAAATTGTTCCAAATAATTTCTCAGAGAACATTGCTGTTTTGAATCAACACACCAGATGTTTTATTCTAGATTCATGTAGGTAGCTAGCAATGTGCTGGCATGATCTATGTGACCACTAAAACCACTAATATACCATTTGAAGAACCTGCTTTCTAAAGTTGAATTGTTTTGAAAATGCAATTAATCATGGCTATTTAGGCAAGAAGGCTCGTTAGATATTCTGGCCCAAATTTCTGCATCTGACACTCCACAGAAGTTCATCCAATAACCTGAGCTAATTCTCATGACCTTTACCTGTGTTAGGATAAAACACGTATTTGTCTGCTATTGATTTGACTATATCCTGACACAGAAGATCCATGAATTCTGCTGGTAGGTTCTTTCATCACTAATTCTTTTCCGCCATATATTCTAATTCGAAAGATTCATGCTTAATGTCATCACCTATTTTAGTTACTATTAAATAGTTGTTACTATTTTCTCTATTAAGTTGAAGGGTCCTTTAAGCCCAAGATATTCTTGCTGGAAAGATAGCTATGATAGCATTATAGGGATAAAAATAAATTTTGGTGAAATTCTTTTGTATTTCAAACCTAATATTGTCCTCTATAATAAATACAAAGCCTATTTTTCTTATTAAAAGCCTCAAAATATTTCTGTGCCATTTATTAAATTTTTTATAGTGGCATTTGATTTTTTGCCTGTTAATAATGCTTCTGCAAAGTCTGAAGAGTGCCATTTGGAGATGTGATACATCTTTCACGTATGTTTTTTTCTTCCTTCTTACTGACTCTCTTTGGCGTGGAGAGATACAGACCTATTATAAGCTCTGTTGATGACATTTGAAGCTTTCATATTCTCAATTATTTTCAAAATACAGCTCATGCATGGGTTCACTGTGGTATCTTGCATTTTCTATCTATCTTTCCTCTCCACCTGATTTCTGTTTGTTTATACCTTGTTTGGCAAAAAATCCCACAAACTCATGCTGTTCATACTGCAATAATTACCAGTATTAATTGTGATTTTGAAACACATTATTAGCACTTATATTTTTCAATTCTTTTGCATTTCTTTGACCACCTAACTTTTTCACTTTGTACTGATGCACGTGTATGGTTCAGTGTATACTAATTACGTTTTACCCACGCAGAACTTACCCTCTATGCATTTCCTGAACAGGAAAAAACGAAATAATTTGCATTTTTGATGCTGATTTGCCTGCAAATCCTATTAGCTGTCAGTCTCCAGAATTTGACTTTTCAGATTTGAACAATTTGAGATTTTTGAGGAATATGCTACTACCAAGAATGTACTGCATCTGCATATGTGATCACCAATGAATAATCATCCCTGCTGGAAAATCTTTTAAAGGAGACTGTGTATAGGACTGAACCAGTGGTGGTAACTCTCAGTTTTCATTACTCTTAAGTTTGTTAACCACTTCTTTCTGTGAAGTATTTATTATCAAATGAGCAGGATCAGAAGAAAGATCTTGATGTACTGGTATACAGGAGACCATTGAGTACAACAAGTTTTGCAAAAAGCAGTGACTTTGTTAAGGTTACTCTCTCCTCTTCATCCAGAGAATGAAGAGTCATCCTAACCACGGTTCTCTCAAACAGTGAACATTTTTTCTCTCAGATATCTAAAATTTTAACTTCAGCAAAAGTAAAGGAGAAAGTGCAGAAAACTCAGTTCTCAGGCAGGTTTTATTAAGTTCTCTTCCTTCTTACTGATGGGCTGATTTCTCTGGCTAAGGATCAAAAGCAATGCTAATTGCTTTATTGACACGTGTCAGCCAGTTACTTGAATGGCAATAATTAAATAAAATCTCTCAACCAGGAGCTCACACCATATCCATTCAAAGTGACCACTGAACGGCCAACCACTCTGTTTGCAACACAGTTTATGAACAAATATGTAGACTAAACAATATTTGAAACGATCTGCTGAGTGATAGGTGTGGCTGGCAGAGCACTATTTATTTGCCTTTTAAATGGCTTTTCATCTTAACTGCCCTCTTTTCACATGAACAAAATCCTGTCAGTTGAAGTTTGGTGGTAATGAGCTATCTTTCTCCATCCTGCTGCTGGACACTCAGTCTCTCCACCACCCTGGTGTTGCTGGACACGCTGTCCTCTCTTTCCTGGCACTGGTGCTAGACTGTCTCCGTATTGCTGCAGCTGTTGGGCTTGGGTCCTCTTCCCTTGGCAGTGGTTTGGCTGCTGGCACCTCTCTGCAGTCCTGGCACTGCTACATTTTTTGGGCTGCTTTCTAGGTTCTTACAAGTCTTCTGTGAGTCTGCTCTACTCTTCTTCCATGTTCTTTTTCATGCTCCTATGCCTTTACTTTTTGTGTCACCTTTTCTTCCTACCCTTTCCTTCTACCCTTCTCCTTAACTTACTTCATTCTCCTAAGCCTGAATAACCTATGTAAACATCTTAGGAGTAACACAGCAATACAAGAGAAAGGTGACCCGTGCTGTTCACAGTTCAGAGAGAGCAGTGTAAGCACCTGGAGTGGAGAACTGGTACCTGGAAGTAAAGGATGGCTCTCATCACTTACCAGCTAATTCCAAGCAAGAAAAAAGGGGTGAAACAAACATGGGGAGATAACAACTGAATTAATTGCTAGCTCACTAAAAATGTCAGTAATTCATCCTTTTGAAAAGTTTCTTATGGAAATATGCATGGGCTAACATTAAAACCAGTGAGATCTCTAAGTGCTCATATTTAGTGTATATCTCATGTCTTAGTACAGTAATATGAAAATAAGAAAAATTTTGAAAAAATAGGGAAATATTATTCCGTTTTGCTTTTATACAAACAATGTATATTTTCTGCATACCAACTAAAGGATTACAGTACTTCAGTAAAAGAAATACAGATTTATAATTTTTCTCAGTCTTTTCAGGAAGATTTAACTCCATGGACAGAATATCTACTTGCTGACTGGAAAGCTGTTGACAAGTTTCCTTTCTAAGCAAGTACCACCAAAATGGAACATGAAGCTAAAAGTGAAATGAATTTGTAGGTCAATTACTAGTGCCAGTTGGCAACACTAAGCCTGACTGCAATTAGGGCAATCTATATACAAAAATTATTGAAAAAAGGCAATAATGCTTATCTCCCAAAGCAGCTGTCAAGAGAATGTTCTCACTACTTAACTGTGTTAGTGGAAAAGCATTATTTAAATTGATATGCTCATTATTCTTACAGGCCAGCAGACCTACCTCTGTGATGAGGCCCTCAGAATGACTATAAATGGAGAAAAGCAAGCCTGGAAAAATTAGTTAGTTATTTTGTTGGGCTTTTTACCTTTCTGTCCACGGTACGTGAGCAGCTGCATAGCCTTAAGAAGGCACAGTTCCTCCCTCAAGAGACTGTCATGTGAAAGTGCTTAGGGTCATAGTTCCTCAGATGTTGATAATAAAGCATTCTAAGACCTGTTTAGTTGTCTCAAACAACAAAGCTGTTGAAAGGGCTGGAAGAAGTGTCCTATGAGGAGCAGCTGAGGGCTCTGGGTTTGTCTGGTTTGGAGAAGAGGAGGCTGAGGGACGACCTCATTGCTTTCTGCAGCTTTCTGAGGAGGGGACGTGGAGTAGGAGGTGCTGATCTCTTCTCCCTGGTGATAGGATGTGTGGGAATGGTTCAAAGATGCACCAGGGGAGGTTTAAACTGAACATTAGGAAGCATTTCTTTACCGAGAGACTGTTCAAACACAGGAACAGGCTTCCTAGAGAGGTGGTCAATGCCCCAAACCTGTCAGTGATTAAGAGGCGTGTGGACAATGCACTTAACAACATGCTCTAACTCTTAGTCAGCCCTGAAGTGGTGAAGCATTTGGACTAGATGATTGGTGTAGGTCCCTTCCAACGGAACTGTTCTGTTCTATTCTATTCTATTCTCAACTTTATAATTAGCCAAGCAGTTGCAGGTATTGTGGTAGAAATGCATTTCATGAGGGTTTAAATGCAGAGGAGGAGGTGACTTTATGGAGCAATCCATATGGGCTGTTTACCAGGTATGATGCTAGATAGAAAAAAATTACATATCCTTTGGCCTACTTATTTCTTCATGTGTCTTTTAAAACACTTGAATATGTGCATGTGTTTATAATTAATTTAAGAGGAAAGCTGACTAATTGTATGACACATTATATCCTTGAAATACATATTCAGTAAATACATTTTTATATGAAGCTACTCAGTCTGGAAACAGGAAGACGCTTGCCAGGAAAATGGTCTCACATAGTAACCAGTAAGTAGTCTAATTTGGCTTGATTCAACACAAATATTCTGAAGGGTTAGAAGAAGCTCTTTCAAAGCGACAAAACGGATTATCCACTTTCCCAGCTAGATGACCTTGACTAAATATGTTAGCACACCTTAGTGTGCATATGATTTGCAAAGGCAGTGCTATTGGAGAAGGAACTGCTTTCATTAAAACAAATTACTCCCTCTTAAAGCAATTTGGAAAGCTCAGCAGTATGAAGTAAAGAAAAAAATCACTCGGTGAAGAATAGGAAACTGTCTCGTTAAAAGTCTCTATGAGGCTGAGCACATTAGTGTCTTCTGCAGAAATAATCAGGTAAACTTGCCTAACGTGGGCCTGGCAGCAATCTGGGGACGGAACACCTGTTTTGTGACTTACCTTTCATTTCTTCTAAGACTTTCTTTGTGAAGAAACAGCTTCACCTGCAAAGAAATTAAAAAAAAAAAAAAAAATCACTTCTTCAGTGCTTTTGAATGGGCTTGACTGAGTAAACTCTGAAGTATTACCTTATTACCCTTTGGGAATCTGTCTTGTAAATAAGGGTTTGTGTAATAAATGACCAGACTTACGAAATAAGGGACTGGACTAGCTGTGATGTTTTATTACTCTCATGCAAAAGGCATTATATAAGAAAAATTCAGAGTGAATATCACCGTGAATCTCTCAGGCTTCACAGCTGCAGCTGCTTTGTACAGGATGAATCAGGAGCACATTAGAGGGAATGTGCTGTAACAGTCCTCCATGTAGAAGGTATTGCCATGGGTCTCCTATAGTTTCAGGCTACAGCGCTTAACAACTACCACAGCTGGGGGGGAACTAAGAAAAAACAGCACTGGGACTGGAGAGACAGAAGACAGAACTAAATTAGACTTCGCTACGCCCTGGTCTACAGTGTGAACATCTGCACAGAGTTACTGACTGAAGCATGGTTTCCAGGTCTGAGAAAGCATGTTGAGAAGGCTCCTGACAGTCAAGAGGGTTGATAAATGTTCAAAGGGTAGGAAAAATGATGAGGAACTCATAAAATCTGATGTACCAACTGGTATTGAACAGGCACTACTTTTTGCAGAAAGGCTCTTCAGGACAGGAGTTGCATCAGCTTTTCCTTTTTTTATAGCTACTGTGTGTAACTAGTACTGTAATCTCTATGTGTAATAGTTCTAATTTTGTTTTTCTAATTGTACCTGTTGGTCTTGTTCTTTTTCAGTTGTAGACTACTGTGCTTTGGATAACCAAGGTTGCCAACATGAATGTGTTAACACTGAGGACTCCTATTACTGTAGATGCCACCCAGGGTTCATTTTAAATCCAGATAAAAGAACTTGCAGAAGTAAGTTGTGATAAGGTTTTGTTATGAACAGTTTGTACTTCTGTCTTCCAGTTCTCAGCAGTAATACTCCCACTGGTCCTGGAACTGAATAATGTGTCAGGTACAGAAAATGTTGGAGTGCCCTTAAAGCCAAAGGTCATGAAAGCAATGAGAGTTGTTTTGGGGGTAGTTTGTTTTTTGGGGTGAGGAGGTAGGGTCCCTTCTATGAACAGGAAACTTTCAACATGAGACCAGGCGCCTTTTTCAATATTAAAAGCCAAAAGCTTTGTCTTACAGTCTTTGATTATCCAGATTTTTCAGTTAGACTATCATCTCCCTAGCTATATAAACAAACAACTCTGTACAAGACAATTTATAATCAACTTGTAAGCCAAACTAAAATTAAATCGAGTGAGTAGGCCTGCAATCAGAGGAAACATTGCAGCCTGTTTTCCTATGGATTTCTCTCAATCGTGAGTTCTTTGGTACTGTGTGCTCTGGAAAGATCAGATTCTTTTTCCAAACTTCTATGTTTCCACCAGGTTACAATAACTTCATAGCTTTGTTTATGAGTTGTTTCAGAGAATCATAGAATAGTTTTCAGTTGGAAGAGACCTTAAAGATCATCTAGTTTTTCAAACTTGATTGCTACTGGGCTAGCAAGCTCAAAAATTACCAGAGTTGAGAGCCGGATATAAAGTGGAGGGGAACTGACAGACCAGAAATTACTCTTGCCAAGGCTTCCCTTACTTGGGAAAACAAACTAAAACCTCCATAGCGTTTAATGTCATAACTCATTTTCAGGCAATGTGAAAGCAAAACCTTAATGTATATTCCTAGTGACCTTTCTTCAAAGATATGGATCTTGATAAAGAAATGTTACTATTGTGTCTGTAAGCAGACAAACTCCATTAATTTGTCTCCAAACTCCATTAGGTGAGTGGAACTGATGATGCCAGTGGTGAATTTAGCCCATATTATTGAATAATGTGTACAAACATTATTTCTCAAAAAATACATCAATATAGTACTGCATTTCGGTGCTTTTTACAGCCTTGGGGGCATTTCAGTCTTTATGATGAAAGACTGTGTTAACATATAGACTATATTGTGTATTATGCTTGGTATCTATTTCACTTACATTTAACATTTAGAAAGCATCTAATCCAGGCTGTACATCTGACCTTATGATCAAGAGAAAGAGACACGTACTTCTAGAAGGTGCTTGCTTACAGCTTTGACACAAATTTATGGAAGTGTCTGTATTTTCTTTGACTATGCAGGGAGTCTGAATGACTTGCCAGACTAGACACCTAATTTTTAGATGTACAGTGTCAGAGGAGATGAATTTCCCACCTCGCCAAGGTCCAGAGTACAGTTCATACTGGCTCATCTTGAGTGCAGCTTGCATGAATTTGCCCATTTGTCAAGTATCTGTCAGCTGTGGGCTGACTAAATTGTCTTACACCTCCACATATATTTCTACATACACATATTTTTGAAATCTTACTATAGTGTAAGTGCGTTCCACTGCTCAAGCAAAAATTCTTGTTAATTCCTTCAATTTAAGAATGTGGATTTTAAGCAATGTTTTCTCCCCCAAGGTTTGAACTGAACAAAGACCTTGAAACTGCATAAAGATGTTATATGTCTTAAGTGGCTTTTAGATTATGGTGTAACCATATAACTCATTGTAACCTATTACAGACTGTCAGTCTGACCACATGCTGCTGTCTTTATGTTGGAAACACGAAAGCTTTATATGCTGGTTGAACAGCATCTCTGGTGGTCATTTATTCTAGCCTCCTCTTCAGAGTGGAACTGCCACAAACTGTGGAATGGGTCAGCTATGTTTTTGTCTAGCTGAGTCTCAAAAAGCTTAAATGGAGAGTCCACAACCTCTTCAGGCAACCTGTTCCACTACTGTACTATCCCCCTAGAGAATAATTTTCCTTCAGTCCAACCTAAATCACCCAAACCACGGATGGTGACCATAGTTCCTTGTTACATCATCTGTCACTAGCAAAAGGGTTTAGCTTCATCACCTCTGTAATGACCTACAACAATTAATTGTAGGCTGCAGTTAGACACCTTCTCCTTCATCAAATTAAATAAGACCAGATCCCTCAAGCTCTCTGAATAAGTCATGTGGACTATGTCCCAGCAGTCTTCACAGGTCTCTGTTGAGCCCTCTCCATCTGACTTCCCAGGTTGACCATGGCTTTAGCCTGCCTCCGTGAACCTGCCCAGCAATCACTGGCCTTACCTCATCCTGACATGGATGCTGGCTTCCTGGCTTGACCTCAGACCTGCCTCAGCAGCACGTACTTGGCTGATGATCTGGGCTCCTGGTTAAACCTGGCTGCCATTTGTGGGCCTGCCCTGCACACCTCGCTGGGGTGCTGCAGCGCAGTGCCTGTCTGACAAAGCCCCTACCCTGCTCGGCTCTATTATCGCCCTTGGCTCCTGGCTCTCCTTCGCCTAAGGAGCAGCTGACCTGTGCTGCTCCCTGACAGCAGGTCACTTCCCAGTCTGTACAAACTATGCAATGTTTCCAACCCAGGCGCAGAACTTTGTAACTCTTCTTACTGAACTTCCTAAAACATCTGCTGGTCCAATAGTCAAGTTTATCAAGGTTCCTCTGTACTGAGTTAGTTAATGTGGCCCCCAGTACTGGCCCCTGTGGTACTCTGTTCATTATCAGCTACCAGCCAGACATGAAGCCATTGATCACTGTCCCTTGGGGCTGGTGGCCTGGCAGATACTCACCACACCTAACAGTTCTTTCTTCCAGCCTTCACTTCCACAGCTTCCAAAGGAGAATGCTGTAGGAGGCAGCATCAAGGGCTTTACTAGTGCCAAGATGCACTACATCCACCAACCTTTCCACAGATGCAGTCATTTCATCACTGAAGGTGAACGCATTGGCCAGGCATAGTTTGCCTTTGGTAAACTCATGTTGACTGTTCCAAATAATCTTCTTGTCCTTCATGTATTTGGAAATTGATTCTGAGAGGATGTGCCCCATGGTGCTGGAGCTGAAATTATGCGGATTGGTTTATAGTTCCCTGGGTCTTTCTTCCCATTTTTTTTAATATGAGCGTAATGTTAGCCTTTTTTAGTTATCAGGGACATCTCTCAGTCCCCATGAATTTTCATACATGATAGTCAGTGGTGTCACATCAGCTACCTCTTTCAGCACTCACAGACTGAAAGTCATCTATACTAGTCATCCCATGGATCTGTCCATATCCCTTTTCTCTAAGTAGTCTGCAACTGATGTTGCTAGCTCCGCTCCTTCCCAAACAGTGCTGGTACACATGAAAATCTCGGAGCAGACTTTGTCTGTGAGAATCAGGAATAAAAAGGGCGTTAGTGTTTTCAGCTGTTTCCGCATTGTCCATCCCTAGGTTGTTCCCCCAACCAACAGTCCCACATTTGCTGCCAGCCTATTTGTAGACTCCCTTCTTATTACCCTTAATGTACCTCAGTAGTCGTAGTCCAGCTAGGCTTTGGTTTTGTCCCAAAGTACCTAAGCAATGCGTTTATACTCCTCTTCATTTTTTTTCTCTTGGTCCTTCTTTCTCCCTCTATTATTTTCCCTCTTTGTGTTTTAATTCACAGAGAAGGTCTTTGATCTTCTAAGCAGATTTTCTAGTGCAATGGGATGATTGGTTCCTGAGGTTTTAGCAAGTTTCCTTTAAAAATCATCTAGCTCTCCTGGACATCCTTTCTTTTCTTGGCTATTTCCCAGGGGATTCTTCCTAGCAATTCCCTGAATAATCTGAAATCGAAGCTTGTAAAAATGGAGTCTGAATTCTGCTGTTTCCCCATGCAGCCTTCTGGATTGTGAACTCGGTCATGTCATGGTCACAGCAGCAAGTCAAGAAAAGCATCACTCCCCAAGAATTCATGCTGGGGAGTTGTCATCACGTCTGTGCAGAAACCTCCTGAGCTGCCTGCACAATGCTGTCTCACCCTCCCAGTAGGTGTTCAGATGGTTGAAATTTCCAGTATGAACAAAAGCAATGAGTTGGAGGCTTCTGGGGCGTTATGTAGAAAGTGTTACTCTCTACATCCTTTTGGTCAGGTGGCGTAACAGACTCCACCACCACATTCCCAGTGTCATTTTCCCTCTAATCTTGACCAGAAACTCTCAGCAGGCACATCTATGGATTCATATAGGATCTCTGTGGAGTGGAGGATGTCTTCAACATGTAACACAAAAGTGCACTGCTCCACAAGGCAGTGCGTGCTGTGAGCCAAGGAAGGCTACGAGGCAAGCAGGGTCAGTAATCTCTCTATCAAGTCCTCCCACAGTACCCAAAGGAGAAGAGCAAGACAGGTTTTATGACAGTAATCAGGCTCAGCCAACAGTCCAGTGATCACTAGGCAAGTCCATAGTGTCAATTCAGGAAATCAAGTCAGTCAGTCTGCAGGTCAGGATCAGCAAAATGCAAGGCTAGGCACAGGCATACCTGTAATAGGCAAGAGCCAAGGGTGAGAGTCTGTCATTAAATGCAGCTCCCAAGCCAAGGGACAGAGGACATGGACAAGGCTTCTCACGGCTGTGTGCATCTCTGACACGTTAACTGCATTCTGATTTGATGTAAAGGCTTGAAATTAATTTAAAATTAAGGGAGAAAATTCCATCACGTTGCAGTTAGGGAAAAATCAAAGTGACTGGACATGGTAGGCCACAGAGATTGATTCAGAAGGAGTAGTCAGGGAGGAATGAGCAAATACTATGTCAAATCACTCTCTCTCAAGATGTGTGTCCTGAATCTAAGCATAAATAAAACTTATTAAGCCACTCTTCCTTACACTTGATATCTTCTGAGCCTTGCTAATAAAATAAAGCATGAATGAAAGAACTGTGTAGCTCTTAATGCTGTGAAAATCAAGACCACGTGAGAGCTCTTCAGAGCAAAAGTGTCCCCTAGCTCCCCTATGTTATGAATCACACTGCATAAACAACATGAAGAAACAAACTTCAGATCACTGGATTGAAAATGTTTGTAAATTTAAAACCTTTAACATAAATTTCTACGTGTTTGCCTTATGTACTTAATCTCAGGGATGATTGCCAACTAGCCAAGCCTCACACCCATGCCAGACCAGATCTCTGCATCAGCAAGCAGGCCTGGGCCTGGGGCGCCAGCTCCAGAGATCTCGTGATTTTCTCAGAACCCTTGCTTTCCTTTCAAAAATAGAAAGCAAGCTTTCATGCTCATGGCTACAAGGAAGAGCTTGAAAATGTAAATGTTATCAGTACGGTCATGCATATCTGACAAATGTTTTCTCTGGGAATTACTCCAGACTTCTCAGAGTGAAATACAAGGAACACGGCTCATGAGGGCAACCCTGCCAACATCAGCAGAGTACTCTGTGTGGCAGGAAGAGAGCAGCAAATTCAGATTATCGCTGAGGCAGAGAGAAGTAATTCCTAGCGATTAAGTTAACTATTAAGGGGGCTTTTGCCACTGTTGCTGCTCCCCTCAAGAGGATAGATGGCACCTTCTGCTTGTACTTAGGGGTGCTGGCCCTCAACTGTTGTTCTTTAGGGAAGGCCCCTGTTTGAATTCTGGGTGGGTTCACACGAGCTGGTAGAGGCCTTCTGTTAGCATCCTTAATCTGGGCTGTGTTAATGAAGCCCTGTGAAATGTGGGTTTACTGTTCCCAGCATAATAGCGTCAAGGTTCCAACAAAGATAATAATACATAATTTTCAGCTGTTGTGGTCATCTTCAGAATCAGTTACCCAGGAAAAGTCTGTCCTGCCAAATTGAGTTAGCAAGGGTTTGAGCAGGTAAATGCAACACTGCACTGAATAGGTCCAGAAGGCATACAGCTATATTCCTCTGGTGCACACACGTGCCTTTATAATTTCTGTCTCTTCAGTGCACTCTTGAAAAATCCATATTTTCTTTTTTTTTTTTTTTTAGTAAACAGAGAAGATCTCCCTGTGTTATGTATATGTGTATGTGCATATGCTGTCACAAAAAATTTTGGTAAAGAAAATGTTCTGTGAATATATGAAGTGAAGCTCATAAATGATAAAATACTCCTCTCAGGTTTTCTTAGTCAAATCCCACTTTGTTTGTCCTGAAAATATAGGTGCATTATTATTGCTAAGGGCTTTCATCATATATAAAGGCTCAATTGCATTCACCCACCACACATACAAGGAAAGAACAGGTCCTGCCTCAGAAAGCCAATTACTTCTAGGAATAATAATTAACCTCTGAATGTCACTTTTCAGGTTGTGTAATGAGGTGTTCAAAAGTGCCTGGATGTCTTTAAAAATATGACTGACTTGATTTGTGACTTGTTTATACATTTATAGCAGCACTGAGGGATTAAGACCATTCTTTCACTAGTATAAATTAATTAACCCCACTGATATAAAACTAAGTGATGGCCAGGCACTGCATCTAAGTGAATGTCAGGTTCTTTGGCTTCATCAGTAGTGGTAAACACTATGTGGTAAATATCCCAGTGGTTGCTGCACAATTACTTTCCTTTTTAAGGTACTTTATACACAAGTAGTAGCTGCTTCTAGAATTTGCGTCTTCCCTTTCATGAGCATTTTAAATGGCAAACACTCAGAGCTGTTAAAACATCAATGCTCCTGATGACCTGATTGAATCTAATGAACAGCATTCAAAAGCATGTTTGTGTATTTATTACGGTTCATCTAACCTGCTCTTAGTAGAGGCAAGTTTGATGAGGCAACTTACAGGACAGCTGCAAAACGTCCAGAAATATTGAGATTCTAACTTCTCTACTCCATGTAGTACATGTGTTCTCGAAGAATTCATTGAAGTATGTGTATCAGGTATGTATAGCAGATATTTGGAAAAAAGGAACATTTTATTTTCATAGTTTGAAATAATATGGTTTAAAGTCATAATGGTGCCTAGGAAAAAAAAAAGGCTAAAGAAAACAAAGTAACTGCTTTTTACCTAGCTTATTTCCAAGGAATCGTGTTCCTCACTGACACAATTTTTTCCCATTTAGGACCAGACTATTGTGCTCTTCAGGACCATGGCTGTGAACAGGAATGTGTTAATACAGATGATTCTTATTTTTGTCAATGCCAAGAAGGGTTCAGGCTTAATCCAGATAAGAAAACATGCAAAAGTGAGTAATCCTTTGGACATAATAAAGTTCATCTGCTTTTATTTCTTAAACCTGCTGTGAATGGTTTCCTTTATGAAAGGATGAAGGTTTTCTTTATAATTAAGGCTGAAACAAATGTTTCTTGGATTTTAACTGAGCCAGTCATGCTGGAAAAAATACAGTTTTCTGTTTTGTAGACTAGATTGTATACTGGATGTTTTCTGAAGAGATTTATGGAAGCCTGAAGAGTAATATATGAACCAGAGTGGCTCAAAACCAATAAATTCATTACTTAGTTGAAACTTTATGACCTTATTTTGTAGTGACAGAAACAGCTTTAAAAAAAAAAGAATCACCTTGTCTTGCCCAGTTGGCTTAGCCAAGGACAGATGTATTTCATTAGCTTGGAAGAATATTGGATAGATAATGTAGCTATTAAAATTAACTTGGAAGTCACACATGAAACCCTGCAGTTTCCTAAATAAAATGTAAAAACAGCCTCAGTAATGTCAGTATTTTAAACCAATCACACATACTGTTTACTTTAAAAAGACTTTCATGTTACAGCTCTTCTTGTGTGGGGGCTTAGAATCACAGCAGATTTGTAATGTAGTTAAAATTTAAGGAGAATATATTTGGCAAAACGAACCAGCCTGATCTGGTGACTCAGTTCTTGGTGTGGAGCACTGTACTGCTGGTATTTTATGAGAAAGAAGCTTGTCTGGAGCAACATAATTATATTTCTAGACACCCATAAAATTTATCTGTTTTGCGAACTGGATTTTCTTTTAGTCTTAAAGATGTGTTCTCTTGAAGCATCTTTGTCTATACAACGCCATTTGTACAGCAATCCATGCTATCCTGGGTTTTATTATCTATATGGTATTTTAATACATTCAGGTTTTTACAGATTGGATGTGCATCGGTGAGTATAGGAGTGGATGAAGAGCATTGTGTAGAATATTTATTTCCAAGGATCTAATTGGGAATTAAGGGCAAACTGTAATTCCCATCTGGGGTATTTTTCCTTAACCTCAGGGGGGTTTGGATTTGCCTGTAAACCTGGTGACTTTTCCAGGATTAAGCTCCTATTCCAAATCTTGTTCTAACAAGACTGAAGTTAGTTAGGCCTGTAAAATAAAGCAGAACATTTGCATATATGCCCTCTTTATAAATCATGGAGAATGCATCACTGGTGACCAGCAGCAGTCATTCTTCCTTCCCCATGATGTATGACTTCTGATGAAGTCCCCCTGATGAAGTCTGCTCTACAGGAGCAGATCTATGGGAGTCAACGGGAAGTCATGCACAGCCAAGTATTTGCAATCTGCTCTCAGATCTTCAGCTCACTATCAGTTTGACAGGTATGCAAAACACAGAATCTAGTACCATTTAAGAAAAGTGATCTTTTCTAAGCCATTTTACTTTAGAAACCCTCACAACTGGCTTGAATTCTTCACTGTTTTTCTCTCCACAGAAGTAAACTTCTGTGCTTTAGGTCAGCATGACTGCGAACATGAATGTGCTAACTTGGAAGTGTCATTTGTGTGCAAATGTCATCCTAGAGACACCCACAACATGATGGAAATACGTGCAGAAATTAGTGTGTCTCATGAACTGCAGGAACTAGTTACTGCCGTGGGGCGAGGTGTGAACAGGATGAGAAAACACTTCTGGGTCCCTCTTGAGATCTTTCTGAGCTACGCAAACCTATGTTACTGTGAAGTCTACCACAGGCCAGGCCTAGTGAAGTACTGCTATAGTGAGATCCCTGATCCAATAGAGAACTAAATCATCATCTGCAATCCAAATAATGGGGAAAATGCGTTCAGCCAAGGCGTCTAACCTAAAGGCAGTGCTTACTGTTGAAAGTCTGTGTCATTGCTAGCACAGAATCATAGAATGGTTTAGGTTGGAAGGGACCTTAAAGACCATCTAGTTCCAACCCCCCTGCCATGGGCAGGGACACCTTCCACTAGACCAGGTTGCTCAAAGCCTCATCCAGCCTGGCCTTGAACACTTCCAGGGATGGGGCATCCACAGCTTCTCTGGACAACCTGTTCCAGTGCCTCACCCACCACCCTCTCTGTGAAGAATTTCTTCCTGATATCTAATCTAAACCTCCCCACTTTCAATTTAAACCTGTTACCCCTTGTCCTGTCACTACAAGCCCTTGTAAAAAGTCCCCCCCAGCTTCCTTGTAGCCCCTTCAGGTACTGGAAGGTGCTATAAGGTTTCCCTGGAGCCTTCTCTTCTCCAGGCTGAACAAGCCCAACTCTCTCAGCCTGTCCCCATAGCAGAGGTGCTCCAGCCCTCTGAGCATCTTCATGGCCTCCTCTGGACTCGCTCCAACCAGTCTATATCCTTCTGATGTTGAGGGTTCCACAGCTGGACGGAGCACTCCAGGTGAGGTCTCATGAGACCAGAGAAGAGGGGCAGAATCCCCTCCCTCGACCTGCTGGCCACACTTCTCCTGATACAGCCCAGGACATGGTTGGCTTTCTGGGCTGCCAGCGCACACATGTGCTATGTAAACTGCAGCACACCTGATACTGAAGTATGCTGACTTGTGGAGATATGTAGAGACTTCCCCCTTCTGTATGTTTACACTTTCAGTGATCTGTTCAATACCGTGTCCTCTTTTAAGAAGAATATTGCTAAATGAAGGATCAGTGTTGCACCAAAAAAACCCCAACAGCATTGCCCTTGATGTCACCCAGTTTTTAGAAGATTCTTTTATTGCAGAGAACCACTTTGCATCATCTGAAATATTGGCAGCATTTTTGCCTGATGTACTTATGACATATTTTTCCAAAGGAACACTCAGTCACTGAAATTAAAAGAAGGTTGATAGGCCAGGGAGTAATTATTTTTAAATAAACTGTTTGTGATAAAGCCATATTTAAGGAAACTTTGACGTGTTGCAAGAGCTCAGAACTTGCCCCATCCCTGGAAGTGTTCAAGGCCAGGCTGGATGAGGCTTTGAGCAACCTGGTCTAGTGGAAGGTGTCCCTGCCCATGGCAGGGGGGGGGGAACTAGATGGTCTTTAAGGTCCCTTCCAACCCAAACCATTCTATGATTCTATGATTCTATGAACTTCTTAACAATTATGGTTTTAGGCTATTGCAAGTTGAATATCTAAAAATTAATATATCTCAAGACACTAGTTGTTTTTTAAAATACTGATTCATCCCCGCTCCTTTCCCCTTCTTATATTTTTTGTACAAATGTATTGAAACACACATGATGACCAAATTTACAGTTACACTGATTTATAGGGCCTGGTAATTAGCAGCTTTGTGATTACTCCACTCTGAAAAAGTTACAAGATTCTGCATGAGAAGCTGAAGTATTTCAGTGTTAAAATTCACATTAGTGTGGGTGTTTGCATTGTAAGAGAAGGTGACAAACAGATGCAATTTTTCACAGAGAATACTAGGTTTGGTGTTTTTTTTACTTTCCTCTTTTTTTCCACATTTTTTTGTGTGCTCTGACAAGTTACACAAGCCTCTTCATGGTGATGTAAACTCTTGGAAAAAGGATAATGTTCCAGCTGGAACTTGCTTTAGTTAGTAAAAACTGACACCTCAGCTTCACATGTTCAAGCCAATGTTATCTCTATCTATGTACAATGGCAAATGTGAACCAATTACTGCAAACTCGTTGCTTAGTTAAATAAACTAATAAACAGCAATATTTAGAAATAAGCAATTTTACATGAGATACAGGTTTTTTTTTAATGTAAACCAAGAGCTGCAGACGTGCCTGTTCACATCTGCAAATGATTTGCAACCAGAGACACATGAGACTCTGTTTGTGTCTGAGGGAACTCCACTACTTTTGATCAAGTTAAGCTGAAGTGATTTGGGCCTATGTAACTAAAAATAGCCATTAACAAGTCAGCAATAAAATATTATGAGGAAGTTCAGCATAAAGAATATGTGCTTTTTCTATACTTACAGAGTCAGCAGATTACATAGTACATCTGCGAGTGCACGTATCTCACCCTACTGCTTTGCTGTCCAGCCTATGAGACAATAAAATTTTTAAACCCAATTCACACCTCTCTCTCCCTCCTCTCACCCTTCATCTTTTACACAACCAGCTACATACAAGACTAAAAAAAAAAACCACTCATTTTATCTTACTTGGAATAGGAAAATCAAAGCAAAGGAACATATTAACACATTCTCACACTCATCATTTGTATCTGTCCCCCATTAGGCTTCAGCTGCTTGAGCCTGTTGGCAGGTTAAAGTTTTAATCTGGGGATTGCTCATCCTGTTAAAAAAATTTTACTGTTTATGAAATAATCTGAAAGCCATAATTTCTATTTCAAGGGTTACTAATATTCATACTGTCTCTCTGAGAAAATTTTACGGTGAACAAAAGAGGGAGTATTGCTTTTTAAAGAAAGAAAGCATAGTTCTGCAGGTAAGACCAGATGGGACTTCACGGTTCTCCCTTCACGTTATCTTCCCTTTATGATTTTTGGCAAGGGAGATCTGCACTTCATCAAGTTTGTTACCTGCCAAGTGGGGATGTTTTATTCATTTCACTTAGGTGGTGTTAATTAACTCAGGTTACTCAAATAGGTGGGGCTACAGCAAAAATAAAAAGCTGTGCTCATCTTTTTCCTTTGCTCTGCAAAGGCATTGTGTACTAACTACACTGTCATAGTGTCTGTATCTAAGGCTCTAATGTGATTTCTTCAATTATTAACACAAATCAATAGGAGTGGACCACTGTGCTGAAACCAATCATGGATGTGAGCAACTGTGCCTAAATACTGGTGGCTCCTATGTCTGTCAGTGCTCTGAAGGATTTGTCATCAATGAAGACCTAAAAACCTGCACACGTAAGTCTTTTGAGAACCTCCTTGATCTCAGCTCCCCTGGGAAAGATTTCTGTTTTCATACAGGGAAGAGGACACACATTCAACTTATTCATACAGTCTGCATTTAGATAGTAGTTTAACCGTTATTTGAAAGCAGAAGCAGACAGAAGAAGTACTTAAAAAAGGACACTTGTCAAGATAACTGTAAATCCTCACATATTCAGGAAAGCTTAGGAAGATGTCCCCAGGTGCTGAGGACAGTTTTTCAGTCACATGACAAATGTGTCTGACTGACAGGTCATCCTGACAGCAGCATCTCGCAGGCAAACTGCATCAGCATACCTGGGGCAGGAGGAGAAGTGAGTGTGCCACACTGACCTTTGCATTTTGCATGGGAACCCTTGATAAGTGAACAGGAGTTGTCCTGACAGCCACTGAGAATCTTTGCTGTTTCGCAAATAGCTGAGTTTCCTCCTTCCCTGGAAAAATAATATATAGAAAGGGCCAGGAAAAGAGGAGTGTGGATGCATTTTGCCTGTTGACTTTTCCTGGACCTCTTTGATGAGAGGGTTTTGGCCTCTTCTACAGAGTTTGGAGGTACATTATTTTTTAAGCTTGTGGAGTGTTGGAACAACCCTGAGGTTTGCTCCTTTTCTTGCACTTAGGCAACACAGTTTTAACAGAAGTCAAAATGAGAGTGCTCAGTCACAAAAATCATCTTGGGAGATGTGAGGCAAATCTGCAAAGGCAATTTGTTTTTGTCTTTAATCTTATTTTTGCCTCCATACTACCCATTTTAGCCTCATCCAGTACCTTGACAGACTTTGCTTCTATCTGCCACTGCAGCCCTAGAAGGGGGCAGACAGTAACACGCAGGCAGCACTAGTGTGCGTGTAACAGCGATGGGGTCTACTAGAAACAATCTGTTGAGATGTTTATCTAAAAGAACCACTGGAAATTTAGAAACAGCCAAACTATGGAGTTTTATCAGCCTGCTAATGAAAAATCCCTTTTCCTTTGTAGTAAAAAGAGGTGGATTTTTTTTTCTCAAGTTATTTTCCTCCAGGCTGTACTTGGAGACCTATCAGCAGCACTAAACCAGCGCTGTAGATTCTGGAATCCCTCTGTGCAATGAAACTGAGCCCTTTTGAATAGTTCCTGTCCTTGCCAGTATACCTTTCTTTTCATATGTATTTAGGAAAGAGATCTGTCCTATTCCTGAGCTCCAGATGAGTTGTTGAAACCTCATGGACATTTTTAGGCTATCGTGAAAAGAGTTTTGGCACTTCGGGATTTCCTGAATGAGCAGTTGAATGGAAGGCATTAGCATTTAACATGTGCTGCTCCTAATGGGAAAACATCTGGGAATTACAATTCTGGTGTCATCAACACAGGCACAAGTATGTTAAGACAGCTGTGGGAACACCTGAATGGTAAACAGGTTTCTATTCTGACAACTAACTGCAAAAAAATGAGTGACACTGTGTGTGCAGCCAATGGACAGTAGCAAGTGCTGCCTGCAGGATCCCAGGGGTCCTATGTCTTTTATTACAGAGCAGAAACACTTAGGAAATTTGAGATGAAAAATGGTCCGTATTTGACAGTACTTGTCATTTGCAATTCTTCGCAAAAGCTTGAATAGTCTAAGCCAAATCCCACTGAGGTCCCTGAAAGGTTTTCTGCTTGCTGCCCCGGCAGCTGGGTCAGGTGCACGAGGGAGTTCTGGGCACTGCTGCCTTCACATTGGGCCACTGACAGACTGTTCACAAGGCAGTTTTATGTCTTTGCCTGTGTCTTGTATAAAATCCTCGCTAAAGCGGTTTTGTTCAGTTTTTTTGACATTCAGTTTGTACGCACTGAGACGTGGACTGTGTTCAGGTATGTCAGGCACAAGAGAGTATTTCTCAACTCTGCTTAAGGCAATCAGTGGAAAATACACCCCACGGCCCTCACATTTTATTGAAAGTACATATATATTGTCAGATAAGGAACTGTTGTTTAAGCAGTTCAGTGTATTTATATTTAATTGCTTATATGCCATGGAAAAATCAGACATGAAAGATAATTGATTCATCGTTTATTAATTTTTAAAAAATACTTTAAATTGCTCCCGCAGGGGTTGACTATTGTGCTCTGAGCGATCATGGCTGTGAACATTTGTGTGTAAATGGCAACAGATCTTACACTTGTCAGTGTTTTGAAGGATACAGGCTTCGTAATGATGGGAAAACATGTAAACGTAAGTTATTGTTCACCAACTCGGAGTTACATTATTATGACACACGTAGAAGAAATCTGTAAGGTAGGATTTGATTGCCTAAACGTTGCCATCAAATGTAATTTTAAATGCTTGAGGATTCCAAAAGTTCAGAGATTCCCCTTTGGTGTCGTGTTTACCAGCTGTATGCCAATATCTTGGATGCTCTAGGGCATTTAAAGTGGCACTGAGTGCATACTTTTACGTGTCCGAATCACACCCTAAATGCCTATGCCATTTAAAAAGTAGCCCTGGAATTGGACTGTTGTGAATCTGAAACTATTTTATTCTGACTTTCATCCTTATGTGAGGCAACTGTAATTTTCTCCTGAAATCAAGGCAAAAATACATAACGTTGCTGAAGTCTTACACATCATGAAAAAGCTTGCAATATTATTAATGGGAACTTCATTTGTTTGTCCAGCATGGGATAAGGATGATTGCAAAAGAGGTATCATAATTGCACTATATGTTTGACTACATCATGCAGTTACCATGCGTGGCAGATATTAAAAAAAAAAAAATTATTGTAATTGTTATAGTTTTGATCACTAAATGATCAAAGAAGAATCATGGATACGTCTCTGAAAAAAGCACGGGCATGAAATATTTTGTAACTGCAATCCCAATAATATCCACAGATCTCATCAATGTCTGCTATTAAAAAGCATTTACAGGAAAAAACAAATCAAATTCATCCAGACACTACCATGACAAAAGAAAAGCTCCTTACTATCACTTTGTCTATCACAACAACAACCTACTTCGTTAGTCCATGCAAACTGAGGCAAATTTTGCTTGTCTGAAAACGTATTGGCACTAACCTTTCAAAAAGCTAAAAGCAAGTGATGTTTTCTATCCATGCAGAAGTTCTTACAGGAAAATAAAGGGTGTGGGAAAGCAGGTGAAAGTGAGATGTTAGTTTATCTAATGTTAATTAATAGATTGTATTTTATTTTATTTTGAAATATGAATTGTAGCTAAATTCTATTTCAGAAAATCCCACTGAAAATCCACTTACTCAATTATAGCTGACAGTTTTCCAGAATTTCATAGCAGGATTATGCAGCCTGGTTTTTTCATTACCCTGAAATACTACATACACTGAGCTTTTGCAAACCTACTCTGCAAAATAGTGACAAACACCTTCTGAGCTTAAGCTCAAGTTTACTTGAAATGTGGATGTGGGGTTATGTGCCTTTGGGAATCTTGGAGGGTCACTAATCTGCGTGCTAGGGACATGTGAAATTCTACAAACTCTAGAACCGGAACAGCGCACTTTTCCTTAATAGTAAGATTGTAAAATTGGCAGGACAGTGATGTACCATTTTGTTAAAACAAACAAACAAAAAAAGACAGGAGGGGCTGTAAATGATTTGCAAGGTTGAGTGCAGTATGCTAGCAAGGACATTAAGTAACTGGGAATTTTAAGACTTTCAACATCTTGCCCTTAATTAACACAATTTTTTAACTATTAAATTATTCCCAGGTAAAAATGTCTGCAAGTCAGTCAACCACGGCTGTGAGCATGTTTGTGTTAGTGCTGACAATTCCTACGTCTGCAGGTGTCGTGAGGGATTTGTATTGCGGGAAGATGGCAAGACGTGCAGAAGTGAGTGACCGGTATCTATTCAGCATCTTTGCTTGTGCATCAGGCAGGGAAAGAAAGGAGTCTATTCACTTCTTACTGGAAAAAAAAACCCCATCCTTTTGAGATCTACAGTTTTAAACATGTTTTCATTCAGAACCTGTATTTATATCAATCATTCCCAGGACGAGACATCTGCAAATCGGTCAGCCATGGCTGTGAGCATATTTGTGTTAATGAAGATGACTCGTATGTTTGCAAGTGTCATGAGGGTTTCCTGCGGAGAGAGGATGGGAAAACATGCAGAAGTAAGTACTCTGGTAACTACTGGTAGACTTTGAGCACCAGTATATAGATTTGGCGATGTGTTGTAACAAATACCACTTTCATAGTTTACTGTTATAATACAGTAGTGTTGTTACACCTGCCAGAAGCTTGTAAGAGACTCTGAGGAGAGCAGTTGGAAGAAATGGTCAAAAATTTAGGCAGCAAGTCTTCATACCTGAAAAACTGTGGGTCTTTTTTATCTCCAGTCATGTCACTGTATTTTAATACTGAAACTAATAGGACTGGAGGCAAAAAAAGACAGTTTTTCAGGCATCAAAAATTAGCAGTGTTTGCTGCCTACATTTTTGCCCATTTCTTCCAATGATATCAGTAGAGCTAATAAAAGCTATTACTGCTTCCTGCGTGATCCATTCACTGTAGATGTGCCTTAACCAAACAACATCTACTGTTCTCAGATCAAGACATTTGCAGCTCGGTTGACCACGGCTGTGAACATGTTTGTGTTAATGCTGAAGAGTCCTACATCTGCCAGTGTTACGAGGGATTTGCCCTGAGGGAAGATGGAAAAACATGTAGAAGTAATTATCTTTATCTTTAATAGAGGATTTCCTTTATAATCTGTGCACTTGTAGACATGCTTTAAATACTGGCAACCTTTTTTTTTTTTTCCAGATAAAGATGTTTGCAATTCTGTTGATCATGGCTGTGAGCATGTTTGTGTGAATACTGATAGTTCATACATTTGCCAGTGCTATGAGGGCTTTGTATTGAGGGAAGATGAGAAAACATGTAAAAGTAAGTTATTTGATGTTACTATGTTTTTTGCACTCAGAAGTTTACTGAAGAAACATGTTGTGTGAGAGGTAGGACTTTTTATAGAGGATTTTACCTGACAAGAAGGAGGATAAATTCTTCATTGAATAGGATCTTATTACATGTAGTCTTTAAAGTTTTGGAAATGTTCTTATTCATCACACTGTTGTAAATAAAATGTAAATTATTCCTAGATAAGGACATCTGCAAATCAGTCAGTCATGGCTGTGAACATCTTTGTGTTAATAATGACGACTCATATACTTGCCAGTGCTATGATGGATTTGTGCTGAGGCAAGATGGGAAAACATGCCGAAGTAAGTAGCTTATGAATGAAAAAAAAAAAAAGCATTCCCCTTTTTATTAGGGGATTATTCACTGATTCGTAGTGGTCAGAATAGAATGTTGTTCTCCACAGATCATAAGATTTCTATGAATTAATTACTGTTTGAACTAAAGATGTATTTCAGAAAATCAGCCAATTTTAAGGTTCAAATGTAGCTTTCAAATTGTGCACTTCATTTCTAGATTAAGTATGTCGAGTTTTAATCTTGAGCATAGGATATTGCTGCATTTTACTTTGATGGGTTGAAGTTCTAATTGCCACTGTGTTGTTCTGTGTATATCTATGACTTAACTGTTCCTTAACCTTTTAGCATGGCCTTTTGTAAATGATAAGCAGATGAAACTCCTTCATGCTCTTATATGTTTTCAATCTTTTTATAAGTCCCTTCTTGCTCCCCTAAGACCTCTGTTATTTATCAGCATCCTTGTGGGGACGCCACAGTGGTGCAAAGTCTCCTACTAGGAGAAGGGTCCAGGGTAGAGGAACTATAACCACCCTAATTCTTATTTGAATCTACCTATTTTTTTTTTACGTTTTATCTCTTTTTTTTTTTTTCCCCCCATCATCTTTTTTTATGACCAAAGATAGTGTTACTCTGTGACCATAATATTCTGGTAGCACTCATGTTCAGTCAGTTGTTTACCAGGATCATAAGATGTTTAAGACTCTCAGTCACATAAGTAAGTACACATAGGTGCACTTACGTCCTGTAAGTATAGTCTTCATTCTTTGTTTCTAAACGTATAAGCTTAGTTCTGCACATTTTAAAATATGTATGGTTTGCTGTTATCCAGTTTCCAAAAAGATTCATGTTTCCCTGTAGCAGTAGCTGCTCTATTTTTATTTGCCATTCTCTCAAAATTGGAGTAACCTACAAACTTTGGCAGTGACTATTTTGTATTTTCTTTTCGGTTGTTCATAAAAATGTTAAATAGTAGAGTAGCAGGGTAAATTCTTAGAAAGAATCATAGAATCACAGAAGGGTTTGGGTTGGAAGGGACCTTAAAGACCATCTAGTTCCAACCCCCCTGCCATGGGCAGGGACACCTTCCACTAGACCAGGTTACTCAAAGCCTCATCCAGCCTGGCCTTGAACCCTTCCAGGGATGGGGCATCCACAGCTTCTCTGGGCATGGTTCCCGTGCCTCAACACCCTCTCTGGGAACAGTTTTTTCCTGATAGCTGATCTAAATCTTCCCGCTTTCAGTTTAAAGCCATTACCCCTTGTCCTGTCAAGAAAGAAACTTGATGTTCCACCATTTACAATTTATTCAGAAGAGCTCTAGCCAGTGTTAATATTCTCTTAATCAAAATAAATACCAAGACTGCTGACTTATTGAGTGCTCCACTCTATGAACAGCATGAGCTTTATGAACCAGCCTCATAATAAATTAAAAAATATACTTACTTAGTTTTCCAGGATCTATTTTTCCATAATGCTAAGTTGATTCATATTAATTTTTGTTCTTTAGTCTGAATCAAGTTCCACATTATCCATCATTTTAAATGCAGATCAGTGTCAGGCTGACAGGCTTACAGTGAACTAGCTATCCTTTCCAAACACTGCAACAGTGTCAGTGTGTGCGCATGCACTGGGATGGAAACTGCTCAGAGCTTTGGGACTTCCTCAGAGTTCTAGGAGTCACTGAAAAATAACATGGAGCACCCAAGGTGTTTTTCAGCCAGCTCTTTTACAACTTCTCACTGCAAGTTGTCTGGAGTTACTGATGTAAAAATGTGGGTGTTCAGTAGGTGCTGTGTGACCTACTTCTCAGCTGATGAAATGCTTCAACAGTATCATCAGTAGCCTATTTCATAAGTTCAGATCTGAACGTACTAAATATTGTTACCATTTCTGCATTAAGACTGGCAATTCTACCATTTCTATCTGTTAATTAACAATACATTGTTAGAATGCTTTTTGTTTCTAGTGCTCTTTAAATAACTTGATTTTGGCCATGCATTCCCTTGTCCCTTTATCTTACTATTTCAATATTTTCATATTCCTAATATTTTCATGTTCAGTAAACACTGTGAATGGTCCTTTCTCACAGTCACTATTCAAATCTTATATCTGCTCTCCATTTCAATTTGTAAATGAGGTTGCTTTTTAAACTACTCTGGCATTCTTTTTAGGTTATAGGTCAGTGGTTTTGGGGGGTATCTAGTAAAATATATACTGCAGTTATAATTTTTGCTTCATGTCCTGTGGTGTTTTGCTTGATTTTGTTGTTACCAGCATGAATTTCTGCTGAATGACTGTACTGGGTTATTCCCGCCTTTCACTCTTGCTGCTCTTACTGTACAGTCTTCCTCCTTAATCCAGTCAGATTAATCCTAAAATGATTCATTGTCAGTGGGAGGTCAACCAAACCATGCAGGTCTTTCTGCTCAGATGGTAAAGAACACATGCTCCATGTAAGCTAAACTGTCTATCATTTAACTCACCAGAGATTTGCTTTCAGTTTGCAGGCTTCCATCTTTCTTTCCTCATGGGATTATCCCCGCAGCCTTTGTATTTATAAAAAAAAGTTTAACTAGCAAACCACATTAAATATTATCTAACTATTCCCAGGCAAGGATATTTGCAAATCAGTCAACCATGGCTGTGAACATGCTTGTGTTAATGCTGGGGATTCATTTGTTTGTAAGTGTCAGGAAGGATTCCTGCTAAGAGAAGATGGAAAAACATGCAGAAGTAAGTAGTCTGATATTTATCAGCATACTTTTTATCTGCAGCTCATGCTTGTGTAGGAATGCATTAACCAGCAAGAGCTGTCATCTCTTCTCAGATAAAGATCTTTGCAAATCAGTCAACCATGGCTGTGAACATGTTTGCGTTAATACGGATGATTCGTATATCTGCAAATGCCACGATGGGTTCCTACTGAGAGAAGATGGGAAAACCTGCAGAAGTAAGTAGCATGAGAACATAATTTGATGAATTACACATATAATCGAGGCCTCTGCTGATGTGTGGTGACTGCCGACTCTTCTGCTTCCAGACAAGGATATTTGCAATTCAGTCAGCCATGGCTGTGAGCAAGTTTGTGTGAATACTGAAGATTCCTACATCTGCAAGTGTCATGAAAAATTCATGCTGAAGGAAGATGGAAAGACATGTAGATGTGAGTGGCTTGAGCTATAAACATGTGGTTTTATTTGAGGCTTTTAATTGTTGTGGCTGTCAGTGTTTGCACCATGTGCATGTTTATTTCTGATTTCCAACTATTTGAGCTGGTTAATAAAAGATAACTTTTCTCTCTAATGAGCCTCATCTCACGAACTCCATCCAACTCTTCTCCTCAGATAAAGATGTTTGCAACTCAGTTGACCATGGCTGTGAACATATTTGTGTTAATACCAATGATTCCTATATCTGCAAGTGTCAGGAGGACTTCATGCTGAGGGAAGATGGGAAAAGTTGTAGGAGTAAGTTTAATCTTTGTTTTGAACAACTCAGTCTGTTCATGAAACACACTATGCAACGGTAGTGTGTTACTTGTATCTTTATTATAGAATCAGTCCATGGAAGTGAGCTCCTTCATGGAAGATTATTGCCATAGTTTTTACATTTTGTGAAAGTTTACCTAGCTACCTATGCTAAATGTAATTTTCATTATTCCGAGGTAAAAATATCTGCAAAACAGTCAACCATGGTTGTGAACACGTTTGTGTTCCAAGTGGCGATTCATACCTGTGTCAGTGTCACAAGGGATTTATACTGAGGCGAGACAGGAAAACGTGCAAGAGTGAGTAGCTGAAGCATTTACTGAGAATATGTTTTTTGAGTCATAAAAGAAATAATAGACTTAATTTTACTCAAAGCTTGTTCATGGCCAGTTTTGCATTTGAGAAATGGTCTAATAAGGAAATTCTCTTAACAATTCTCAGATAAAGATGTGTGTAAATCCACTGACCACGGCTGCGAACATGTGTGCATTAATAACAACAATTCATACAGCTGTCAGTGCCATGAGGGTTTTGTCCTGCGACAGGATGGGAAAACATGCCGAAGTAAGTAACCTGAGTATGTCTGTCAGCAACTCCACTCTTCTCTGGCATTGCTACATAAACGAACAAAGATGTTACAGATCGGGGGTTGGAACTAGATGATCTTTAAGGTCCCTTCCAACCCAAACCATTCTGTGATTCTATGATTCATCTTACACATGTTGTACCTCTTTGCCATACAGTCTTCAAATACCATGTTTGGAGTCTTTGAATTTATACATATGTTAAACAGAATACATCTCCTTATTTCAATTTTTCCTAGATGAAGATGTCTGCAAATCAGTTGCCCACGGTTGTGAACATACTTGTGTTAACAACGACGATTCATACATCTGCAAATGCCAGGAGGGCTATGTACTGAAGGAGGATCAGAAAACATGCAGAAGTAAGTACATTTTCTTTAGAAAGCATCTGTTTCTTTGATTTCTAACATTACTTGACCTCACTTCAAAAGATGCCTCACTTCAAAAATGAGACAATATTTGAAAGCCCAAAGCATAGGTGAGCATGACAGAAAACGTCTTCAACAACTAACCTGGTGCTCTCATAAACAAAAAACCAACAAATTGGAGCAGTTGTTTTGGTGTAGCATGAAGTACAACAGTAATTCTTTCCAAAGATCAGGAAAAAAGCCGAAGTAAAATCTTATTATCAAGGAATGTGCACTTGATAATCAGATTCCTATACTGTGGAGCTTTTATCTTTATGTACTCTATTTTAAAATGCCATTAATTCTATTTGCTTGTCTTCTAACAGGACATGTTTAGAGTATGACATGCATTTATCTCATCACCCCTTAATACTTGGAGGAGAAACTCATCTACTGGAACTCAGAAAATAACATTTCTTCTTCAAAAATGGATGCCTTAGTTGGGAAGGCTGTTATTACCAAAAGAATAGCTGAACATGAAAATGTTCATGGCTGATCTCAATCTTAAGTAAAACCATTCACCATGAACTGCTGCCCTATCCTTGACTTATGCAGTGATACTGAGGTGGTTCTGATACTCGTGTTTCTTGCGTTTCCATTGCCTTAGTTACATGTGTCATCTTTTCCTCAGATGACTGCAGAAAGGAATTCTTGGACAACAGTTCTAAAATAGAGCTATTGTCTAAGAAAAGCCCAAGCTTTAACGCTGACAATTCCTTGTTCCACACTGATTTGGTAACAGAAGTCTTCAGTAATTTCTGCAGTGAAAGCAGAAATAAACGTGGAAAGAACGTATGTGGAGTTCTCTTTTGTCCTCACTTAATGCCCTCCAGACAAACACCTTCAGGATCTGTTAGTCTAGCCTGCAGTCAGCTTAAATAGTTAGAAATGCTACAGACCTTTCCAGTTACCTTGTATGACACACAGACATTTAGAAATCTTACAAACCACAGGAAAAACAGCATTGCTGGTTTCAGTGATAGAAGCCAGAGACATATGCACTTTCAGCAGCTTTGAGAAGCGATCTAGTTCGTGGCATATGCATGAGGCAGAATCATAGTGTATATATATCTAATAATACCTGATGTTTCAAACAATGATTTCAGTGTCCCAGGTAGTCTGTTTTCATGCTGCTACCTTTGCAATATTCCCTAACAAATAGCTAGCTTTCCAGAAGATGAAGCCATTTGCTACCTTTTCTATTCAGTGAGAACAACTGACTTAGTGTTTAAAATAATCCCCTTCTGCATCTTGGAAGGGTGTTATCATGCCTCATACTCATCTTTCCTTTCCTTAAGCAAACAATCTCTGAGCCTTCGAGCTTTCTTCATGTGGCATGCTTTCTAAACACCTCGTTGCTCTTGCTGTGAAACTCCGGACTCTCCAGTTTGTCTCTAAGGGTGATGCTCAAAGCTCAGCACAGTTTTCATCTGAGACGTACACACTACTGAACCCAGCTGCGCAATTCTCTCTTGTATTGTGCTTGCTTACTGCTGCGCATTCTTACTGTACAAACATGAGAGATGAGTGGAGGTCATAGCTCGTTTGGTCCAGACTAAGATGCAAATCCTTCGTATGGCAAATTTTCCCGGGAAGTTACGTTGATCAAATAGGAGCTGAGCATCTCTGCAGCCAGCCCCTTGCACAAAGCACACCAGTCTATGCCCGCTGGAGGCAATTGCCGTCCAGAATGAAGAGAACACCTGGCAGAACCAGCCCGTCTGCAGCTTTGAAGACATTCTGCAGTCCCTAAATTCCCTAACCTTGTCATGGATGCAGGGTGCCGACAAACTACTTGGCATTTACATGTGCGCTTCCCAAAAAGTATGAGAAACCCAAACTTGTCAGTCTCCTGGAGCGTCGCCCAGCTTTAGTGGGTAAATCAAAAAAGGTTAATTTCAGCAGTACATAAGCCTTCTAATTATAAGACTGTTAGAGTTACAAGCAAAACAACGTCTATAAACAATTCTAATGCAAGTTTAGCAGCTAAGCACATTACTAGCATTTGTTCTCTCATCTGTAATTTTGTAGCTGTTTTTCTGTCACTAGAGGTTTACGTTTGTGCTACAAAAACATACGCACTGTCTGAATTTTGTCCCCAGACTTGAACTTCATCCTAAGCTGTAGAGCAGGCTACCTCACCCTTCTCTTCTCGCCCAGCCTTCCCCAAGATCTCTGGCTTTTGCCTCCCTGTTCCCTGCCACTCTAAATTTGATTCCTAGATTTTCACCTTATATGTTCAATGTGGCTTCATTGACTCATCTTGTCGTGCCACCATTACCGTTTTGCTGCTTCGGCAACACAGATGCAGCTCCGACGATTCACTTCCACCTCTTTCAGCACTGGTCATCTACACAAAAGTAAAGTTAGCATGCTGGCCTGCCCCTGGAAGAAAATGATGGGAACTCTGTGTATCCTAGCTGTGTTCTTCAGTTATACAGTTCTCTCCATTTAACAGTCATTCTTAAGATTTGCTGATTGTTGCTGTATGTTTAGGAGTTGTAATATTCTACAAAGCAGTATGTCTCAGTGAGTATTCACTGTGATATTTTTGTTAAGCTCCTGGTCACAGGCACGCTCTTAGCTTTCGTTATAGACTGTACACAACTTCAGACACACTGGCTAGGTTGGATGAGCCAGGATCAAGGTACTCGAGATGATTTCTGAGTTTATGCAGTCCCTGGGTATCTAGGTTATTTTTCAGCTTCGTGGAGCGTTTTCACGGTCTGCTGCTTATTTTGCAGGATGCACTGAAGGCCCAGTTGACCTGGTGTTTGTGATTGACGGATCAAAAAGTCTTGGAGAAGATAATTTTGAAACTGTAAAGCAATTTGTCTCTGGAATCTTGGATTCACTTGAGATTTCACCCAAAGCTGCTCGAGTTGGTTTGCTTCAGTATTCCACTGAGGTTCGCACAGAGTTTACGTTAAAGCAGTTCAGCTCAGCCAAAGACATGAAGAAAGCTGTATCACAAATGAAATACATGGGGCGAGGTTCCATGACAGGACTGGCTCTGAAGCAAATGTTTGAGAGCAGCTTCACAGAAACAGAAGGAGCAAGACCATTTTCAGCAAATGTCCCTCGAATCTCCATTGTGTTTACGGATGGACGAGCCCAAGATGAAGTCTCTGAGTGGGCTGCTAGAGCAAAGCAAAATGGTAAGTGGAGATGTTGGATGAGGATCAGAAGGCTAGAGCACCTCTGCTATGGGGACAGGCTGAGAGGGTTGGGCTTGTTCTGCCTGGAGAAGAGAAGGCTCCGGGGAGACCGTATAGCACCTTCCAGTACCTGAAGGGGCTACAAGGAAGCTGGGGGGGGCTTTTTACAAGGGCCTGTAGTGACAGGACAAGGGGTAACAGGTTTAAATTGAAAGAGGGTAAATTTAGATTGGATATCAGGAAGAAATTCTTCCTGGAGAGGGTGGTGCGGCACTGGAACAGGTTGCCCAGAGAAGCTGTGGATGCCCCATCCCTGGAAGGGTTCAAGGCCAGGCTGGATGAGGCTTTGAGCAACCTGGTCTAGTGGAAGGTGTCCCGGCCCATGGCAGGGGGGTTGGGACTGGATGGTCTTTAAGGTCCCTTCCAACCCAAACTATTCTGTGATATGATTCTTGGTTTTGACTCATTCTAAAAGGCAACTACTGTTAGAAATAAGATGCAGTAGTAGTATGGATGTGCTCAGTATGTATGAATCGAGGACATTTGCCTTAGCAGCCTGGCTAGCACAGTGACCGCTGCAGCAGAACATCAGATCTTTTTTGCTACAGGCATGTACATCATCCCCAGTGTGGGACCCCTGATGAATGTCTCACCACTGGGGTTCTGTGCCCTCCACAGGTAATGACACTACCCACCTGGTATGCCATGCTGTGTCCTGAGCATATCCACTATGGGTAGACATTTGATACAGAGATTGGGACACATTGGGAACTTCATAAAAAATTTTAAGAAAAGCTATTTTAAAAAAACCCAAAGTCTCTTCAAAATGCAGAAATCTGTCCTCAGGAGAAATACTATGGTAATGATTGGTGATGTTATTTTTTTTATTTTACATACGTTATGTATTTTAAACCAATTCTATCATGCTGATGGTGTTCTGGAATGAAGATGGGTCCTTTCTACAAAAGGATATAGCTGGGGTGCTGTCTATCTTTCTGTTTCTATGTCCCTTGTCAGATGATAAGCTGAAATGTAACTGAAAACTGGTGACTGTTAATTTGAAGTATGTCTGGGCAGAAATCCATCCTCTAGGACACCTGTATGACAAATCAAAACTTTTCAGCTGTTTAACAGAGTAAACAAAAGTTTCAGAACTTTTCAAGAAAACAAAGGTTCCCTTTTCTCTTTGCAAACCATTTTCTGTTTTTTGAGAAACTGCTTTAAGAACTGCGGCTGATGGCCCACAACACAGAGAAAAGAGCCAGACTTCAGAAGATGCTGCACATGGGGTTTTTTCTGTTCTTGTTTTATTGATCTGATGTGTCATTCATCACTTGATATGTGATTAGTATAGCACTGGTCAGGACTTATACCTCTCTGTAAGGAGAAAATGGAAAAGGGTCCAAGAATAGGAGAAGTGCATGTGCTAAGTGTGCTATTACAATGAAATATAAACAAAGTGGCTTTTAAAATATTCAAAACAAAGATTTATGCACTCATTTGTGAGGTCGGAGAAAGTACGTGGAGGATTTAGAAGACTGAGGAAGGAAAGAACAAGCCAACCTTGCTTACTTGCTGAATGAAACCTCCGTTCCAGACTGCTTACACGGATACTTGTTATGCTACAAGCCAAATCCATCCCCTGTGTAATTGCAGCGTAGGCAGTGTAGTAATGCTGAATATGAAATTGGCCTTGAACGCTTTATCACCGATATCTCCAAGTCTTTAAAAAGCAACAGACCTCAGCACGGCTGGTCCATTCATTAAACTGAATCCGCTTCTGGTGAATGTTTTACTTTCCTGGCTCAAGTGCAACTGTAGGCAGATTCATGACAAAAAGTAAGGAGATGCTTACGTTAAATGTTAAAGAAACGGAAAATGCATATTTTATGGTGTTATCAGGCCCAGGATTCTTTAGCAAAAACATTAAAGTTGCAATTCGGTGAGCATGTAGCTGTTATTAGCCCACGATAATAAAGAGGTATCAAACCTCCTCACCCTGTGTTTTATCTGAAACCAGACAACTAAGAAGGAAGCTTCTGCTCTTGATTTTTATAAAAAAGCTTGAAATATTATAAAGCTACTAGTTATATTGGGAACCACAACACTGGTACTAGGTGTGAACACTTTCTAAGCTAGAACTGGTGTAAAGGGAAACGTATCCGATCATATGTTCACAAGAATAAAAAAAAAAAAAAATCAGTGATTAAGTGTGGAAAAAGGGGATATTGAAGATCACTATGCTTTGTATTCACTGCTGGGGAAATGCTTGTCCTGAGTACCCCTGTTGTAAGGCTCTTTCTCTCCTAGCCCCACAGATCCTTTCTTTCTCCCTGTTGCACTTTACCCTCGTAGGCCTGAGTGCCTTTGCAGCGCCTCCCAGCCCACCCGCACCACTCAGAGGGCAAGAATCCAGTTTCAATGTGCTCTGAGGATTTTGATAAAACACATTTTTCTAAAAAAATTACTGCCATCTCAGGATTCTGCCCCATTTGCTGATACGTACCAGGTCTCCCCATCAACCTGGTAATTAGCTTTGTTGCACACAGCCTGTGTACAATGACAAACTCAAACCAGGAACTTCAGTTCAGCTGTGAGGCTGACTTGTGGGATTCTCTTGGATGATTTGCAGTACTCTTTCTGGGTTCATTTCCTATCAAGAGCAGCCAGGCAACTGTCATCTCTTTAAGTTAAAAACTATCTGTCAAGTACAGCAAAGCAGTGAGTTTTTACGCAGCATCTCAAGAACTAAAGCGTATTAGGCCTGTCCAAAACCAATTTTGAAGTTGCACAACAAATACGTTTCTTGGACTCTCCCTCTCTAAAATGACTAATGCTTATCTCTTCCATTTGTGGAGGAATAAGGATTTAGAACTGCTCATGTAATAATTATGTGTAATTTCTTTTGAACTTAGGTATAATTATCTATGCCATTGGAATAGGAAAAGCAATTGAGGAAGAACTGCTAGAAATTGCTTCTGAGCCATCATATAAACATCTCTTCTATGCTGAGGATTTCACAGCTATGGAGGACATCAGTGAAGAGCTAAGAGCCCAAATCTGTGAAGGTAACAGTATTCCACTTCCATTGAGACAGAAGAGGAATGAATGCTTACAGGATTTGTGCAGGCCTGGCAGGACAAGTAGCATCATAGTAGAGGTTACAGATCATTATCATCAGACATTGCGAGGCATAAGTCACTCACTGTAGTTTTTCTGCCCTTTGATATGTGAGGAATATATACACTTAATCCATCATCAGGTAAACGTATATAGTAATTGCCTTTATTTTCATAAAGGTTGCCTAAAAGGTACATTTCTGTGCCCAGAAGAGTCAACTGCTCCCTCCTTTTACTTTTTCTACAGTTAAGTCAGCCATACACTGAACCCCACCCCGCCTAAGAAGCATGACCTGCTTCATTAGGAATGTGGGAAAATAATCAGGGATTTGTAATGCCTTAATGAGAATAAAAAATTAAGATCAGTGGCAAAAAACCCAAACAAACAAAAAACCCAAAAAACAGAAAAACAAATAATCAAGGGCTGTTGTGCAAATTTATAGAAGACTAAAAATAGTTCATTGAACATACACTCACAGCCACTCAAAGAGTGGATCTCAGTGACGCATAAGCTCCAAGTTGCACTCCACGAACATGGAAGGTTTGTTCCAGAAAGCACCCTTCTCCCTCTGGCATGAAGAGTCTCTATATAAACATTCCCAGCTGAGGTTTTGCCAGGGCAAGGGGGAACGTGAGCTGGGACGAAAGCTGTTCAGCTAGGGAGAGGACAGCATGTCTCTCCCACTCACACATTCCCAGGACTCTGAATTTGTACATTCAGATTGGTCCCTGAAGCAAAATTCAGAAACACCACTGCGAATACTACTGGTCACAGCACTAGAATTGTGCAAGAGGATTTAATTTTCACTAGCTTTTATTTGATTGGTTTTCTTGGTATTAAATGCAAACAGGTTTTCTTTAACACTGCTGTGTAAAACTAGCAGGTGAGCAGCAGCGCACTTCTTCCTCAAGCAGAAGTCAAGGAAGAATGGGGAAAAAAAGAAGGTTTCCTAGCTTGTACGTTCTTTGTGTTTCTCTCAGTCCTAAGAACCTTCCAGCTCCATCTTTCTGAAACACAAAATACTACGATAACGTGAAACCAAGTCTGTTCATTAACCTGCTTACTAGGAAGAGAATCAGCTGATGACAGCACGTCATCTTAAAAGCTTTGGGAGACGCCAAAACTATTTGGCAACTGGTAAAGTAATTCTCACTCATTAGCAAACCCCAGAGCTCTGTGATAGAAATTCATCCTTCAGGTACCCACAGCCGTGTTTAGCAACCATGATTTTCCCTTGTACTAACTACATTACTTACCATCTGAAAAATAAGTAAATCCTGCCCCTTTGTGGCAGTTTCTAGATTACTCCTCTAGTAATGGGGCAGAGCTGGTGCCTCTCAGCTTCTGTCCTCCCCTCTCACCAACAGGAAATGCCTCACATTTGTGAATTGAGGACTGACCCAGCCTTGTATTTCTGGACACTCCAGGACTACCTATTGCTCATCAACTCACTCCACCAGAAATTCTGCCTCCAAGGCTGAAAGTTCTTCCCCCCACACCCCCTCCTCTGTTCTGGTTTAAACTTTTCCATCTCCTTTGCAACAGCAGTAATTTCATTTGACTCCAGCCATGGTCCTTAGCTGAGGACTTCTGAGGCTGCTGCCTGCGAGGGCAGTGGGAGACCCTCTGAACTTCATGGACTCCACTGACAGAGCCCCTCAGCCCCAGTCCCAGCTGTGGGTGGGCTGCATGTTCCCAGGCAAAGCAGAAGCCCTCCCAACCTCTCTTGGGGGTAAGGCTTTTCCCTTTTATTCTGCAAGAAATCATCAGCCTCGTGGAATACCTGATAACTATTAATTAATCTTGATGACTAGTAGTAAAAGGAAAAAAAAAAAGTGGTTTTCTCTTTTGCCTCTTAATAGGAATTCAGTTGGAAGGATCCCATTCACTGCCTTGGTTAATGTTCATTTCTCATCTGCCTGGAAGCACTAATGAGGCTACAGCCATGTCATACATCCCATGCACTCATCACGATTGCCACTTCACCCCTGTTCTGAGCGTGTGCATTATGGGAGCCTTTAATTACACGGTCACATACTATTTTTGTCACAAGACCCCAGCCCTGATCCGTGACAGCGTTCAGCTGCCTGCTGGTTTACATTCTGTTCTCCTTCCACACTGCGGATCGTTATCACTGCTGTAAATACTCAAGCCACTGCTTCTGAGGACACTTTCTCACAGGCTTTTCCTAACAAAAGACTCGGGAGCTTGTTTTTAGTGTTCTGTTTTGTAACAAAACCTAACTTCAGCAGTTCCCCAGCAAATCTGAATGTTTATGTTCACTGCACTGACTTCACCAGGGGATCCAGTTAGGGTTAGCAGCCTGTCGCTGCTTGTCTGATAATTCACAGCTTTATAGAAGTGATGAGATCAGAAATCTCTGGGCCCCAACCAGTTTCTCAAGCTTGGAGGAGTTCCTTAAATGCCCATTTCCCATCTCAAACTGGAGACCTCCTGCCACACCTCTACCAGTGTGTGTATCAGTCTCTGCCCTTCCTAGATGGCCTACAGCTCCTGAACAACTTCTAGAGCAAGTCATTACCCAGGGTCAAACACTCAAGCTTCACCCTGCCTGTTTCTCCCCTCCTACACTGGGAATTTCATCATCCTTGTTCCCAGTTGATCATTCTTCTGCTAGACTCCTCACCCAGTTTGTTTCGCTCACCTCATCCCACACCTCTCTGCCCTGAACTCTTCTCCAATAATCTGTGTCCCTTCCACCAGCTAGTTCCCACGCAGACTTTAATTCATATAAATACTGTACTTTTCCCCACTGAACTCTGGTCTTACTCAACCACTCATCTCTGTCCATCCCGTTCCCCACGCTCAGTCCTTCCAGCCCCCACCCAGAGGGTCTCATCTGCCCAGCACATCTTTGCACAGCTGTGCGTTAATTCTGCACCTGTCAAAATTCACTGGCCCAACAGAGATCGCAGCAGCTCTAACAAGCCTGCGGGGCCCAGAAGCACCTTCCACCTCCCTGCTGCACCTCCAAGGCAGTTTTGCGCCATGCTCCCTGCTGCACCTCCAAGGCAGTTAGTTTTGCACCATCACCTTTTACCCTCTGGCATTCCCTT